GTTTTCGGGGGCCGAAACGTCCCTTCTGAAATCCTACTAGAAATCCAATTTTGTCCAATAGAAATCTAATTTTAGTCAAATTTGATTGATCTCTAATTTTGATTGCTGCTGCTGCCTCTAATAAAGCAAGAAACCAGCAGCCAGACACCTTTTTTAAAACACAGCCGAAACAGCAAAACACCATCCAATTTCGTGCCGAACATGACGGAAAATCAATCACAATATTAGGTTTTCGGGGGCCGAAACGTCCCTTCTGAACTCCTACTAGAAATCCAATTTTGTCCAATAGAAATCTAATTTTAATCAAATTTGATCTCTAATTTTGATTGCTGCTGCTACCTCTAATAAAGCGAGAAACCAGCAGCCAGACACCTTTTTTAAAACACAGCCGAAACAGCAAAACACCACCCAATTTCGTGCCGAACATGACGGAAAATCAATCACAATATTAAGTTTTCGGGGGCCGAAACGTCCCTTCTGAAATCCTACTAGAAATCCAATTTTGTCCAATTTTGATCTCTAATTTTGACTGCTGCTGCTACCTACAATAAAGCAAGAAACCAGCAGCCAGACACCTTTTTTAAAACACAGCCGAAACAGCAAAACACCACCTAATTTCGTGACGAACATAACGCAAAATCAATCACAATAATAGGTTTTCGGGGGCCGAAACGTCCCTTCTGAAATCCTACTAGAAATCCAATTTTGTCCAATAGAAATCTAATTTTAATCAAATTTGATCTCTAATTTTGATTGCTGCTGCTGCCTCTAATAAAGCGAGAAACCAGCAGCCAGACACCTTTTTTAAAACACAGCCGAAACAGCAAAACACCACCCAATTTCGTGCCGAACATGACGGAAAATCAATCACAATATTAAGTTTTCGGGGGCCGAAACGTCCCTCCTGAAATCCTACTAGAAATCCAATTTTGTCCAATTTTGATCTCTAATTTTGACTGCTGCTGCTACCTATAATAAAGCAAGAAACCAGCAGCCAGACACCTTTTTTAAAACACAGCCGGAACAGCAAAACACCACCTAATTTCGTGACGAACATAACGCAAAATCAATCACAATAATAGGTTTTCGGGGGCCGAAACGTCCCTTCTGAAATCCTACTAGAAATCCAATTTTGTCCAATAGAAATCTAATTTTAGTCAAATTTGATTGATCGCTAATTTTGATTGCTGCTGCTACCTCAAATAAAGCAAGAAACCAGCAGCCAGACACCTTTTTTAAAACACAGCCGAAACAGCAAAACACCACCCAATTTCGTGCCGAACATGACGGAAAATCAATCACAATATTAGGTTTTCGGGGGCCGAAACGTCCCTTCTGAACTCCTACTAGAAATCTAATTTTATCCAATTTTGATCTCTAATTTTGACTGCTGCTGCCACCTATAATAAAGCAAGAAACCAGCAGCCAGACACCTTTTGTAAAACACAGCCGAAACAGCAAAACACCACCTAATTTCGTGCCGAACATAACGCAAAATCAATCACAAGAATAGGTTTTCGGGGGCCGAAACGTCCCTTCTGAAATCCTACTAGAAATCCAATTTTGTCCAATAGAAATCTAATTTTAGTCAAATTTGATTGATCTCTAATTTTGATTGCTGCCACTGCCTCTAATAAAGTAAGAAACCAGCAGCCAGACACCTAATTTCGTGCCGAACATGACGCAAAATCAATCACAATAATATACCAATGTTTATAGTTTTCGACCAATGTTTATACCACTGTTTGTGCAATGAGACATAGAACCCTCCTGTTGCTCCTGTTGCTGCTGCTGCTCATGGCCACCACTTGAAACGCTGAAACGCCACCTAATTTCGTGCCCAAAACGCTCCAAAATCGAGCCCAAAAAGTGCCTAACGTCCCTTCTGAAATCCTAGAAAAAAAAAGAATTGCCTTTGTGATGATAACCGTCTTGTCAAACACCTTCTATTTCCTCCTGCTGCTGCTGCTGCTCCTGTGACTCCTTCTGTTCAAAAGGCACCTGCCGGATGGGAAAACACCATGGCAGTAGTAGTAGTAGTAGTAGTAGTAGTAGTCCGAAACAAGAGTCAAAAGTATTATTCCCTGGCACGCTCCCCCTTGCGTCTGCCGGGGTCGGCGGATATTGACTGCTGGCTACTGGCTGGGTGCTGCTGTCTTATTCCCTAACGCGCTCCCCCTTGCGCAGCCGGGGTCGGCGGATATATGGTAATATTTACCATCAATATACCCCCAATCTGCCCCCAATGTTAGCATATATACCATACATGGATCCTATGGGTAAGTATTGATAAGTCCTGAACCACGTCCATGTCACCTGTCAACCCCTTTTTGGTGATGATTCCCCTCACTGACCAGTCATCGCTTTTGTCTTTGGATGTCTTTGGGACGGGTTGAAACCTCCAGCCAGAAAGAAGGAGAAGAAGTAGGAGAAGAATGTCAAGCATTCGAGTAGCTCAGGGTGTGTCATCTTGCTGTGATGCCAGAAGGGCGCCTGCAAACTCAAGACGTACGTGACTGACACTTGCTTATGCTGCCTGTGAAGGTTCAGATTGGCCGAATCAGCTCATTCCCCAACTCCTCATACTCTTGGAAGGCCCAGCAGGGCCATGGGGTTTTATACATCTTCACATGGCTTCACGATCTTTCACTGTTGTGCAGTAACCAGCACTTGCCCTGAGGTCGAGACTTGAGAGTGAGTTGCTGCCTTAGAGCTTTCAACACGTGCGCGATGCTTCTTGAACCGACATCCACTCACACCCCAGCCTTTTCCCACAGAAAAGCCAAATGTCTGGCCGCAATGCCGACTCATTCTGACTTACATAGCTAAGTGATGCTCAGTGGATTTCATAGGTGAATGATGGTGAATGTCAATGAGACATCATGTAGGTGCGGATTCCTACTGCCTCCTATGTAGCTTGGTGCGGCGCTTCCGCTGCGATACCATGCTTTGGGACTTTGCGCGGCAACTGAACCAGCCGCAGGACTGCGAGGGGACACGGTTGCTCCAACCTACATGGGTAGAGTTTTTTTACAGATGTTGAGAGCCATTTTCAAAGGTTCAACTGGGGATGTAACCAACATCAAATCACGCATGTCGGCTACAAATTGCCATTCAACCTGGATAAACCTGAAGAACTATGCTGGGTGAAAGGGTTTCTTTAGGGCGATGATAGACACACTCAAGTAAGTTTACCTTTCCTGGCGATGTTTTGACCCCTCTATTTCTCCAGGACGTGGACGCTTGGGCGGTGGTGGAAGTGGCCGCTGCTTGGATTTGCTGAAGCCAACAGACATGGGGAGTCTCCTGGGCATCCACCCCCTAAATTTAACAAGGACCCCTAAATATTCCCAATATTGGGTATGGAGAATTACAGTATTATTATATATTACTATCCTATTCGATGCGGCAATATTTTGATGATTTGGTTTCCAAGTTAAATGTATTCTTGATGTTGGCTTGCCATCTTAAGCAAATCCAAGGCTGCTAAAGCGCCAGCAGTGCAAGCACCAGAAAATCTGGCCAAAAGGCGGGCGAAACGTGGAGGATATTCGCGGGTATTTATTGATGATCACTACGTACAAATGATGCCGCCATAGATTGATCAATAATTGTCAGCTGTCAGCATTACCTGATCCAACTTCTAACCCACCCGAAGGTAGTTAATGTTGGGGGTGCTATGGAGGACTACAATCGCCATACAGATGAGATCCAGGTCCCTGTGGGGATACCACGATTGTCATCGATGATCTATGATTGACGGAGACAAACATTTCACAAAAAACTGAGGCCCAGCCCACTTTTGGCCGCAATAGTAGTCAAGAACGGGGCAGCAATAGGCAATTTTCGATATAACTTCAATCGGTTGTGCTTGAAGACACGTGGAAGTTGTTTGCTTCACATCGACCGGTCCCAAGAGTACGATAGTTTCCTTATGCCAATAGCATAGCAGCGGAAGGCTAAAGTTGCAAACGGACGCAGAGATTGTGCGGGTGTCCGGCAGCGAAGCTGCGGATTATGGCGCTTCATGCCATGAAGAGGTGCAAATTCTGGAAGCAGAATGGTTGATGGTTGGGGGGTATGACTACATGGATGCTTAAGAATGTTAATACTTCCAAAATACTTCCAAACAAAGTTCAAAAAACGGGATTTCTGCAAGACATTTTTGACCAGGTCTGACATGGTTTTGCAGATTTTCAATGTGTGGGAATGGATCGTTAAATGACTATAATGACTATCCAATATTAGCCATGTTAATCACCAGAAATTGATGGTTAAATAATTAATGTACAGTAGGATTGTCAGGGTCCCAGAAAGTGCCCCAATTTTGAGCCCGACCCACAGATGATCCTCAGAGGCTGTGAGTGTGCTGAAGCTTTCGTTGGTGATGTTCCTGGTGAAGCGCAGCCAGGCCTGGCTTCGAGACCTTCAGATTTCAGTATTTTCAATGGGAAACCCAAATGATTATGAACATTAAATCATAGCTTAAGGGAAAAACCCTGGGTTTTGTGAGAATTTTCTCTTATTCACATCATTCACGTTGCGCAGTCTTGCCAGGACTTATGCAGGGAGTTGGTGAACAAAGGTCTCACTGAGTCTTTGCTGATGTGTTGGGACCTCAGTTGATGCGGAACCCGTTCCATCCCGTTGCTATGGGCTGGTGAGATTGCCAGGTCTCTTGGATGTCTCAAGACCAATGAGACAGGCTCGGGGCTGCTTGAGTTCGGCTTGGACCCAAGTCGTGGTACTGTATTTCTTTCGTTGCTGCATTCCAGTCCATCTCATCTCATCCTTTCCAAAATTGCTACCTTCCTTTGAATAGAATATATAGATATACGTATAATATGATATATACTTACACAAGATACACTTAAATATATAGATATAACAAAAATAAAGATAAATGCATTAAATACTCATATATAATGCGCATTATATTGCTTACATTTTCAATACTGCTATACATTATCATATATTTTAATCTGTGATCCCTTCGATGGAAATGATGCAATGACCGAAGGCATCCCGAACCCCACATTCTCGGCTGCGACAGGCAGCTGTCCTCACAGAACTACATCACCTGCAGCTGCTATCACCTCACGCCAAGAACATCGTCGAAACTGTGCTGGTGAAGCGTTACTCGTCCTTAGTCCTAGATACCCAAACCCCTCTATGAAATAGCGAGGGTCATGGCCCTGCATAAAACGTTTTATGTATGGTTTTTCTGTTGGTTGGACCCCCAATTTTATAGCGAAACCATGGTTTTGCATGATTCTGCTCAGAGTATGGGTTCAGGAGGGGGGGCGTCAGAGATCCCTATTTTATAGAGGATATGTTTTTTCCAGTTTTGTTTTCTTTAATGGCAGGAAGGTACATGACATATAAATTTGGTGCATGTTTTTTGAATTGAATAGTTCAGTTAGATAATAGATTGTTGACCACGAGTAGATAAAATTTATCCGAAACCATTTGGCCAAACAAAGGTGTCCGATCAAATTCAGAAACTCGACATGAATCATATTGAATCATCAGGAGTCCATATAATAATTCAAAGTTCGGAACATGTTTAAATCATGGTTTTGATACAAAGAACCTGCTGAATGACACAAATCCACATGAGTAAATATGAATAAACACGACCAATGTTTTTTTTTGAACAAGTCTGCAAATTCAGAAGCCATCTCGGCTCTCACTCTTCCTCTCACTCTTCTGCAAAGTTCTACTTCCTCTACTATCCTTTCACATCTTTGCTACCATCTCTCTTGACTTCTTGGTTTGGGCAACCTCCTGCCACATCTTGCCACGACATGCCACGACTGGGCCCTTGCTGGCAGGGTGGGTCTCTATAAAATGGAGGGGTCTAACCCCCCACCTGCACCATAACACTATTGCTCTGTGGGAGAGCAGAGGAATTGGAGCAGCAGGGGTCAGAACCAGCACTCGGAAGCCATCTCAGCACACTCTTCTGCAAACTTTTACTTCCTCTACTATCCTGTCACAACTTTGCTACCATCTCTCTTGACTTCTTGGTTTGGGCAACCTCCTGCCAGATCTTGGCACGACTGGGCCCTTGCTGGCAGGGTGGGTCTCTATAAAATGGAGGGGTCTAACCCCGCACCTGCACCATAACACTGTTGCTCTGTGGGAGGGAGGAGAGGAATTGGAGCAGCAGGGATCAGAATCAGCACTCAGAAGCCATCTCAGCTCTCACTCTTCGGCAAAGTTCTACTTCCTCTGCTATCCTTTCACAACTTTCCTACCATCCCTCTTGACTTCTTGGTTTGGGCAACCTCCTGCCACATCTTGCCACGACATGCCACGACTGGGCCCTTGCTGACAGGGTGAGTCTCTATAAAATGGAGGGGTCTAACCCCCCACCTGCACCATAAGCAGGGGTGGATCTCTATAAAATGGAGGGGTCTAACCCCCCACCTGCACCATAACATTGTTGCTCTGTGGGAGAGAGCACGGGAATTGGAGCAGCAGGGGTCAGAACCAGCACTCAGAAGCCATCTTTCTACTTCCGCTACTATCCTTTCACAATCTTTCACATCTTTGCTACTAATTGCTACCATCTCTCTTGACTTCTTGGTTTGGGCAACCTCCTGCCACATCTTGCGATGATTGGGCCCTTGCTGGCAAGGTGAGTCTCTATAAAATGGAGGGGTCTAACCCCCCACCTGCACCATAAGCAGGGAGATCTCTATAAAATGGAGGGGTCCAACCCCCCACCTGCACCATAACACTGTTGCTCTGTGGGAGAGAGCAGAGGAATTGGAGCAGCTGGGGTCAGAACCAGCACTCAGAAGCCATCTCAGCTCTCACTCTTCTGCAAAGTTCTACTTCCCCTACTATCCCTTCACAATCTTTCACATCTTTGCTACCAATTGCTACCATCCCTCTTGACTTCTTGGTTTGGGCAACCTCCTGCCACATCTTGCGACGATTGGGCCCTTGCTGGCGAGGTGAGTCTCTATAAAATGGAGGGGTCTAACCCCCCACCTGCACCATAAGCAGGGAGATCTCTATAAAATGGAGGGGTCCAACCCCCCACCTGCACCATAACACTGTTGCTCTGTGGGAGAGAGCACGGGAATTGGAGCAGCAGGGGTCAGAACCAGCACTCAGAAGCCATCTCAGCTCTCACTCTTCTGCAAAGTTCTACTTCCCCTACTATCCCTTCACAATCTTTCACATCTTTGCTACCAATTGCTACCATCCCTCTTGACTTCTTGGTTTGGGCAACCTCCTGCCACATCTTGGACGACTGGGCCCTTGCTGGCAGGGTGGGTCTCTATAAAATGGAGGGGTCTAACCCCCCACCTGCACCATAAGCAGGGGTGGATCTCTATAAAATGGAGGGGTCTAACCCCCCACCTGCACCATAACACTGTTGCTGAGAGAGCACGGGAATTGGAGCAGCAGGGGTCAGAGCCAGTACTCAGAAGCCATCTCAGCTCTCACTCTTCGGCAAAGTTCTACTTCCTCTGCTATCCTTTCACATTTTTGCTACCATCCCTCTTGACTTCTTGGTTTGGGCAACCTCCTGCCACATCTTGCCACGACATGCCACGACTGGGCCCTTGCTGGCAGGGTGGGTCTCTATAATAAATTTTAGGGGTCGAACCCCCCACCTGCACCATAAGCAGGGGTGGATCTCTATAAAATGGAGGGGTCTAACCCCCACCTGCGCCATAACACTGTTGCTCTGTGGGAGAGAGCAGAAGAATTGGAGCAGCAGGGGTGAGAACCAGTACTCAGAAGCCATCTCAGCTCTCACTCCTCGGCAAAGTTCTACTTCCTCTACTATCCTTTCACATCTTTGCTACCATCCCTCTTGACTTCTTGGTTTGGGCAACCTCCTGCCACATCTTGCCACGACATGCCACGACTGGGCCCTTTCTGCATACTACCGGAGCCTGTGTCTTGTTTGTCGGTGCTCTTTTTCAAAAGAATGATCCTCCGGAGGTCCGACATTGCGTCGTACGGCCGGCAATTTTGATTTCACCCACTATTGTATAGCATCGTCAGACCTTAACTCAGACCGGGCCGAATAGGCCAAAGGCTGTGGGGAAAACAATCTAGTTCCTCTTCTACCAATTTCATCCAATTTCTGCCCTTGCATGTCCTTTCCATTCCTTTCTTCTATATTCTTCATAACTTTAGACATATGGAAACTTTGGATCATTTGAAACTATTTGAGATACATGTTCTCATTTTGTTTGTGGTGAACTGCACTGTTTTTCAAAATATAACACCCAGATTGGGGGGGTAAGAGTTCCCAATTTCATAGACATCATGATTTGTATGGTCAAAGTTTGGCAAGGTTAGTGGTTAGACCCCTTATTTTATAGACTTGGGGGTCCGACGTTGGTGCTCAGCAAATTATATGCACCCTAGGGGTCAATGACACCATTTTATGTCTATAGAATAGCGAGCAAGACCCTCCCCCCCTGTTTGGAACATACATCTTTCCAGCACCTTCAACAACCATTGACAGTTGGATATAGGACATATTCTGCCAACCCCCCCTATTTCTGAAAAAAATCGCATTACTTCCCAATGTTTGGTGAGTTAACACCATTTTTAACTCTCATTTAAATCCCATTGTTAGTGTATTTTTTAATTTTAACTGTATATATTAGACATTATTCCAATACATATCCCAGTCCATCTCCATCTTTATTGTCTTTACTGGTTCAACCGCATGAAATCACCATATTTTTCGCTGTTTCCACCAGGCTTTTACCGGGCACCGAGGCGAGATGTTGCGCGCCCTCACGGCGGAGCAGCTCATGGCGACCGCCAGCGGCGAGGACTTGGCCAAAGCACGGCGGAGGCTGCGGGCCATGCAGCGCAATCGAGGCCAGGTTTTGACCGGAAAAAACCTGGGTATGGCGGGAAGAAACGCCACAGATCCTCATATTATTACTACACCATTCTACTGTATACATTATATAGATTTATATATATATATTTATATAGATCATATATGGTTTCCTAGTAGCCATAATCATAATCATAGGGGTTAACGCTTGTGAAATGTCGGGTGTTCGCCGCCGTACAATTACTGTCCCAACTTCTGGGATGCCATGCTGCCAGGTGCTGCATTCAACACTTTGAAAGTGCAGCACTCTGCGGATGAACACGAGCTCCAACAGTGTCTTCAGCGGCAATTCTGGTCGGCGTGTTATCATTTGATCACCCCACTCAGGTTCCATTGAGTAATTGGGCTACAAAATAAGATAAAATATATAGTACACGTATGATTATATATGTCAATAGGATAAAACCGCTGGTACACCATCTCCAATTTTGTTAGACATGTCTGCTGGCAACCAGTCGAAATTGGATGATTTATATTAGTTTGTGATGACTTATGACTTGACTACAGTCCTCCAAAAGCACCTGTGCAATATAATTGCACTTATCCTGGCCTTGTAATTACATTTCTTCGCTCTCTCCTCTCTTTCTCTGAATATCTATGAGACAGCGGGTCAAAAGTGGGAGAATCCCAGTTCTCCAAGTTCTTCACACTTCCCCCCTTTCTCCGGCTTTGAGGCGAATCCTGGATCAGCAGATGGCAGATAGCCTGGGCATCAAAGGCCCCAGCAGCAACGCCTTCCTGACGGAGCCACTGGATGACACCGAAGTGGAGGCCGAAAAGGACGAGGCGCCGAGGAAATGGAGCAAAATGGGAGGTGAAAATGGGGTACCCCATTTAGCTCCTTTGAACATGGTAAAGTAAATCATCGTTTTCCTCATTAAAATGGCAATGAGGTGGAATTCTTCAGATAGACCCAAACGGGAAATTACCGAAAGTATATTCAAATATAATTGCGGCATTACTCCAACATAAATGACCGAAACTCACATTGACAAACCCATTTGATGATTGGGCAGCAGTTTGGACAGAGATGTTCTATGGTTCTGTTCTATGTCATGACTTTTCTGTTTTTGATATTCCATCTCAATCAGCAGGTGTTCTGTGGTTTGAAGCTTGATTGACTCTATGCCTTGTTGAACAAAGAAGCAGGGCTATGCAGATGTCGCCCAAGCCACAAGACTCGCGCACTGCAGCATGGGAGGCACAAGTGCCACGTGGAGGTAGTGGCTGCTACCCTGTAAGCCGGGTACCAGCAGGGTGGCCCAAATTGGCTGCCATGGAAGCCAGTTTTCACCTATGTAATTAGTCCCGATTTCGAGGCGACTTGGACAAGGTCCTATGTTGCAACACGTCCTGCATATGGCTATATATATATATATGGCTGGTTATGTTTTGTTATTTTCTTATGGTATATAATATAATTTATTGTAATTTCATAATGTCATGTACTTGTAGTGTGCTATTATACATGTTCTATCATGTTATGTAATGATGCTTATTCGTGTGGATTTGGCGTTGTGGTGCATCATATTGAATCTTATTTGGCCTCGAGGTTGGTAGCTCCTCCAGTGGCCCCGTGTCTCGTGGCACTGACCAGGGCGCCTTTGCTCGTGGGTAGCTCGTCGCGGCAACAGGCACTGGCAAGGTGCTGTAGCTCCTAATAGCATCACATGATGTGAAGAATTGTGAGATATTTGTGATACCCTCTGGTTATTTAACATAGCCATGTAAAATGGCCCATTTATAGATGGTTTACCTATTAACAATTGTGATTTTCCATGGCTATGTTAAATAACCAGACGGTAATTGCGCTTTTGATCGATAAACAACCAAATCAATGCCATATCGGGATCGGGATCTCCAAACATGAAATATACCTTAGGGGTACCATGGTCATCCATGGTCCATATTTCGTGCACATTTTTTGTGTTCAGTTCCTTGCGGGATATTCCCGGGCCTTCAGCGTCGCCAAGGTATGAGCTCGAACATGATATCAGAGAGGAACCAACCACGGAGCCTACGGTGTTGACGGTGGGCATTACAGAGGGGACAGACAGAACATGACAGAACCCTTCAACCTCAGATTATATCCCAGTCCCACAGCCACATTGAATCCCCAGAACATGTCCAAACAGAACCCCACAGAATGGGTATCATTAAGGGTATTATAATGTATTATATCATTTAGTTCCAAGATCCAATATAAAAAGACGCACGAGGTCCCCGACACTCCTAGCGCCATGCATTCTGCAGGCGCTTCGCAATGTGTTGAGCGAGCCCCTCACCCGAGAGTCAGCGGAGCAAAGCTCTTTGTTGACAGAGGTGAAGCAGTTGTGCCTCAGCGCCAGGTGGGAGAACGATCCGACGTGGATCCTTGATGCCTAATCTGAGAATGCGGAAGTTGCGGTTAAAACCTTGATAATTGCACATAATTACACACATTCTATTGGTTGATGGAGTTCATGGAGTCATTTTGGAAACCTGGTGTACCTGGTGACCATCCCAAAGATGAACTTCCACAATGGTGCAATGAACGGTGCTCGTTTATCCAAGCTTTTGTTCTATATTTTGTTCAGATTGGTTATGCCGTCTTCGTTTTCCATGTTTGGCCCCTTCAGGGGTGAGGCTTCGGACAGGGCTCGTTGTCGTTGGGTTCAGGCGGCCGCCGGTGCAGCCACAAGTTCCAGCGCAGCGTCACGAACACCCTTCCCTGCTGAAGGTCCAAGCCGAAGTGGCAGCGCATATGGAGAGATCCACCATGATCGGCCATGTTTTTGTTTCACCAAGTAGTAGGCTTTACGGGGGAGCAATGTTATGCCAATTTTTATCCAAATTTGATGTTTTTGATTCTACAAATAGCGACTTTTCCATCTATGTTAATTCACTTGAGGGTGATCGAATCCTGGAGTGACAACTGGCAGCCCATTGGTCTCATTACTCTCCTGGCATGGGTCAAACTTGTCACCCAAAATCAGCCTTTTGTGGGTCGATATGGTCCTTTGGTGCCCCAATGGCTGAACCCAAGATCTCAGGTGAGCAACACATACCCAACTTGGAGTATCAATATAATCGTTTGGTTATGAAATTATTATATTATTTATATTATATAAAATTAAATATTACCAAATTATCACCATTTATCGCCTAATCGTACACCCCTCCTACAGTTATCAAATCAGCAGCCCATTGGTCTAAGACTATATGAGTTTCCTCCAGTTACCCATTGATCCGACAGGTGGAAGAGCGATCAGTGCAGCATCGCCGCGCCCTGATCATGCGTCGTGCAGTGCGGCGGCGGCCGATGGGGGAAGCGTCAAAGGCGGGGGAGGCTGCAGCAAAGACGGATTTATAAAGCGGCTGGTGGCTTAACAATGGTTTGGAAAGGATAAAGCCGGATAAAGGTTAGAATGCCGTACTTTCATGTACTTTCTATATTGCCTTTTTTCATATCCAAAAAAATTGGCTTTTAAAAACCATCAAACCGATCAAACTTGGCAGCAGCCATGCTATGTTTGTTTTGACGGGCCCTTGCCGTTTCTGTCGTTGGGCTGTCGTTTCACAACTCGCCAGGGATCGAGGTTTCGGAGTGGGGATGAGACACCAGCTTCGGAAGCGGATTCGGAGGCCACCAGCCTGGTCTGTGTGGCAGAGGCCATCCGGATCCATCCAGGGTCGGGGGATGAAATTCAGAACTCGAAAAAGATGTTTGGCAAATTGTTTGGCTTATGATGGATCAATGGATCTATATGGATCTATGAAAAAAAATCTACAAGCAGCTGCATCAGCTATGATGGAGCAAAAGACGGCAAAAGCTTAACTTCCACACCCTGCAGGCGCACGATACTGCTGCAATGGCACGCTCTGCTCAAAGTGTTGGCTGGGAGTGTGGGAGCCTAGCATCTAGAGTGTCTGACTCCATGAGAGTGGTGGGACTTCTGTGATAAACCATTATAAACAGGATTTAATGTCAACCCTGGATTAATAAATCCCTACTAGTAGGTTGTTTAATTGGGGGGATACCATTTAAGTATCAGATTATGATTATTTGGGGAGTACCCCTCTAATTGATAAACCATGGTTTATTAATCCGGGGTTGACATTATCCAATTTATCCTATCCATTCTAGATGAATTACCATGAGCATCCATGACCTCAGTGCGACGTCATCGGAATTTTGGTTCGGATTGGGGTAACTATGCCAAAATGGCCTTTATGACTGACCCAGATCCATGGAATGGATTATCGCATGCATATCGCCCATTTAAGTAGGCCATGTCAACGTTTTACCAAGTAGGTCCCATCCAAGTGACAGGTCGATAGGTCGCTACCGGACTCCCTTTTATGAGGCGAGTCTCAAGCGCCAGCGTGAAGCAGCCTCGAAAGGCTACCAGCTGGTGGGTGAACCAGCAGGGATAGGACCAACCATGAATGGGAATATCATGGAATATCAGCAAACATATCGGGATATAAACACATATAAACACTAACCGTTATGATTGCCCCCTTTCCATTGCAAGCTTAGCTTTGGTTGTTTGGATCCTCCATGGCTGATTTTTTGGAATGGGTCTAAACCGTCACTCAGTAAGGAAGAACGTATATATATATATGGTATTATATATATATATATATGTGGTATATATATATATATATGTGGTATATATATATATATATGTGGTATATATATATGTGGTATATATATATATGTGGTATATATATATGGTGTATATATATATATGGTAGATATATATATATTTATATGGTATATATATATGGGATATATAAATATGATATATATATATATGTATATATATATATATGGTATATATAAGTGTAAACATAAGTGTTGCCGGTTTCAGCAGCTGGCCTAGCCGACTTGTACAGCGCTGACATGTTGATGCCTTTGACTTCAAACTTACAACATGATGTATGTGCTGAGTAGGAGGTTTCTCTTGCACATGCTAGAGAGAAGGATCTCCTAGGGTCTCAAGCCTCAGATATGGCGTGCAAACTTGCACATTTTTTCTCAAACCCCCTGGTAAACCTTGGATGGGAATTTAGTATTTTAGTTTCAATCATTTGCCATAAATGGGGATAGGTACCCAGCTAATTTGGATATCCTGGATAACTGATGAATACCCTGGATAGATTCCAACCAGCAGAACCAGCCAATTACTTCACAGGCCGGTCATTGGCCGGAGATCTCCGTGGTGGATACTTCCATCGGGCCAGACATGTCACAGGACCAGCTGAGTCGAGGGACTGTCGCAAGTCTTTCGTGGTGCTTGTGGGACCATTTTTAATGTATAGTGATATACAGTGGACCTCCGGCTGGTATGAGTTCAAACACTGTATGCAGGCATCAATTGTCAAATGCAGATAAATTCATACATTGGATTGGATTATATAGTTTATATAGATTAGATTAGATTAGATTAGACAGACAGATAGATTGATAAATAGAGAGAGAGAGAGGTAGATTAGATAGATAAATAGAATAGAATGGAATGGAATGGAATGGAATAGAGTTTATAATAGATAGATAGATAGATGGATGGATGGATGGATAGATGGATAGATAGGATAAGATAGATAGATAGGATAAGAAAGATAGAAAGATAGATAGATAGATAGATAGATAGGACAAATCGAACAGATAGACAGATAGATCAGATAAGATTAGATTCGATTCGATTATATATATATATATAGACGGCTATGCAGATAGAACAGAACAGCACAGAAGAGAATAGAAGAGATAGAACTAGATAGACTAGATAGAATAGATAGATGTACTGTATGTGCTCCTGCGTACATGCGCAGTTATACAATTATTGCTACGTGCCACAGGAGTTCTCCTGCGAGGATGTGTCGCAGGAGATGCTGTCAATGAGCCTCCAGGCACGGGGTCTCGAGCCACAGCCATGTTTTTTCTGTGATTGAAAATGGGATCACACCCCGAAAATGAAATTTTATGAGGGATGGGATAATGAGGGATAATGAAGGATAATGATGATTAATCACTGGAATTTCGGAATGCGCATCTTTCTTGACCAAACCATTTGACCAAACTCACAGGAGGTGAGTGCGCACGAAATTTCGATGATGACCACTGGAACTGCTGCTACTGCTGGAAGTCTGTCACCTCCTCGGAATGTGGGTTTGAATTCTGTGGCAGCGATCTGCTTCACAGGCATCCTTAAACTATCTTAAACTAATGTTAGTAAAGCAATAGTAAACCATCCCCAATTTTACAAATTTTACCATAAAGGGGTTGTATAAACCATCAAAAGTTGGGTAGTTTATTGCTGTGCTAACATTATACTCTTTTGCTGAAAGTATTAGTCGCCTGAAGTGACGATTGTATGTATTGAAAGTGAGTTGAAAGGGGGTAACATTTTCAAATTCAATGAGTACAGTATGTAGGTCCGGGCCATAATATGTGTACCCAGAAAATATCAACAATTCATTTTACCCTTCAGTTAATTCGGGGTTATCACTACTATCATTTGACTTTCAGGGATAGAGATAGCTCTATGATTTTGTCAGATTGGTTTAAGGGTTTTTTTTACAGGAAAACCCCATATTTAATGGGAAAATCTATGGTTTTTTGTAGATTTTCCCAACAAAACCAATCCATTGGATTTGGGGAGTTCCCATGAATTTCCCTGGCTTCCCAAGGCAGCCTGGGAGCCACCTGGCGGGAAGTCAAATGGCAGCTTCGAGCCATGCGGCCCTCCCTGAGATCGAGGAGGAAGAGGCCGAGGAAAAAAGTCAGAAGTTACGGGTGTTTCTAGAACTGCAATGATAAATTATGATATCAATTGACGATTCATGACATGTCATGACAATAGCAATGATCATAATCATGTTATATAGTGTTATATACATATGTACACACATATATATATATATACACATACATACTGTATATATTATGTGTGTGTGTGGAAGTTTGTCTCTATGTCTGTATATTAGGATCTATCTTCTATCTGGCTGTCTATCTATATACATCTATATACCCAGCTATAGCTAGTTGTCTATCCCAGTGGTAGATGTGCGAAGATTGGGTATGGCTAGGCCGCCTAGGCCCCCCCGATCTTAGTGGGTTTTGGGCTTTGGGGCACCTCATCTAGCTATTTGACACCACCTGACCAGGCTTGTGCCCAATGAACATACCAACTGAACACTAGCAGACTCATAACTGGTATTGGTTTCATGGAACAATTGCAGACTTTACCCAGGTTTGCGCCAATCAATTTTGGTGCTGAACGCCAGGGTTTCCCATAGAATATGACAACAACACCAAAGCATTGCAGATCTTATGGCCTGTAGCACATGATATCTCACACACAATATTCCAACATAATTCTGATATTCTATGATATTCTGGTATTATGGTTGGTATTTTAGATCCATAGTTTATTGATTCATTTGTATTTCCATAACTTGGGAAAAATGGACCCAGCCAGGAACAGTTGAGACCGCGAGTGCTCCAAAGTGCCGGTTTGGCCGCCCTGGTGGCCTTGCCAACTGATCCCGTCCCAGGCTGGGCACCGGTGGTGACCATTGAGAAGGATGATATATATATATATACTGTATATATATACCCTCTGGTTATTTAACATAGCCATGGAAAATCACCATTTTTAATAGGTAAACCATCTATAGATGGGCCATTTCCCATCGCTATGTTAAATAACCAGAGGGTGTATATATATATATGTGTGTGTGTTTCAAAATTATGATGTAATACTGTTTTTGTTGGGGGGGACCCGGCGAGGAAGGAGGGGAGTTGACAGCCATAAATTTTGACGACCGCGTCTCACGCATGAGATGTTCCAGAATGCCAGAATGCTGCCAGGAAAGCTTCCAACTTTCCGAAAGAAGTTGTTGTGTGTCCAGGCCCCAGTGATTCCCAGTGTTTAAAGCAAATTTTCCCTCAACAAAGCACTTCCACGCCCGGTAGCCGGGTAGCTGCGGGTAGCTGAGAGTGCGCGCTGAGGTGGCAGCACCTCCTTACCACAACTGTGTGGCTTTTAGTAGCTCCGCCCAGGAGATCTGGGAGGCAACAGACGTGGAAATCTATGATATCTATATGGAAATCCCATCATCTGGAACTGAACAATCTAAACCAGTTCAAGCTCGAGAGATTGCCGACTGTGAACTGAAAAGAGGGACTCTACCTATACTCTACCTGGGAGTTACATTGAGATGACTTGTGAATCTTGTGAGCAGTCCAGGCATTTCACAATCCGGTGCTGACCAGGAGCAAGCTCACTTGGAGCGGGTGCCAACCAGCCAGCTCTTGGAAAGGACGCTGCACAGCCGATGGCGATGATGTGGGCTGGCCATGCCCTATGCATCCCCAAAAACCATGCGCACATGTGCGAAATTGTGTTGGCTTTGGTTAAAGATGTTGTACCTTCGAGCTGTTATACATGCTGTGCTGTTGTAATTGCACGCTGCCACATTTGCACATGGAAGGAAAGAACGTTTCATACTCCAAAAGAACTATGGTCCTTTGTTGGGCATTATGTTCTTAGCTTAATTGGACCATATCTCTCGGTTGGTGCGTCTTAGTTCCTCGAATGGTGAGTTTTGTTAGCTGTGATCTTAAGCTGCAGGATTGCAGAGGTCCCGGGCTGAAAAGTCAACGGATGTCAACGGTATCCGGATGTTTCAGTTTTTGTTTGTTCGCATTGAATTGAAGGTATTTAATATTTTAATGTGAGTGGTCTATTCTAGACTTTATCATGTGAGGCCACCGAAGAAGCTTCGCAAACGATGTTGTGTTTATTGGCCAAGGCTGGGAAATTCCCTCGTCGCTGGCTGCGGAAGCACAGCACAGACGAGGACAGGGTCCAGTTGGATGACATTGTACCAGTCGGTCATATTGCACCCCGGTGTATTATGTGTTATTATGTGTTACTATGTGTTATTATGTGTTACTATGTGTTACTGGAATTCCGAAACAAATCCAAACATGTATGCAGGTTTAATACGCCACATGATTCCACATTAGTATTGCTATAATTCCCCAACATCTGGAATCTAAGTGTGTAAACCCCCGGTGTATTAACTAGAGGGACAACCTGCTATTAATTAAAATGAGACACCCCTAATTCAACAGCCCAGGGGGTTATTGCTCCCAGGTTGATGTTACCAATGTCTGAGAAAATCTTAGATCGATTGAGACAACTACAGATTCAAATCCTAGGGGTTGAACGTAGACCCAGCTTAGATGATGTCAGATGAAGTCATTGGCTTTCTGATCGACGGTTGTATTTTCTGCTTTCCATATCTGTCGGAATTCAGAGATGATGGTCCCAATTGGCTCCACCAACATCAACCAGATTTGATGTCAGATCGGTACATGAGCAACATTGCTTCCGGTTGAATTCTGTGACATTTTGGGCTATAACGTCTCATCAGCATGAAGATATTAGGATTTAGGATTGCAATATATTGCAATATCCTGCAATATGAAGGAGTGCGTTTACCAAAGAATATCTGGGATCCTAATGGATATAACATGACACAAATGATATTATAACTATAATTGGAGTTATTGGAGTTACCCCAAATTATGCATGATATACACACACACATATATATATATATATACATACATATTAGTATATATTGCTGGGGTTCTAAAAGCTACCCAAATCTATGTAGCTGGGGCTATTCCATGTTATTCCAGTATCAATTGCTAAACAATGTCCTTTCCCTTGTCCCAAACCCTGAGCGAGAGGCACCCTCCTCGGCGCGTGAGCATACTCCGCACACTCCACGTCTGCCGCCTTTGCAACCGGTACCTGGGCTTCGAAGATCTGGGAAGCATGACAACTGCACTATCCCCCACAGCTTGAACAGTTTCTCCCACCGGCCTTAACTAGTCCTGTACAACTCTATAACATTGTATAACTCTATATCTGGCATCCAGTTTCTAGTGAAGTGGCGCGGCCTTGTGGTATCTTTTGATGGTGAAAATTCCTTCCGATGACACCATTCCCTCTGTATTGACTATCCTTTGTCTGTGGCGGCTTTTTAATTAAACGTTGTCTCTATTCTTCAGGCCACATCTTGAAGCCATTTGAAGCCTGCTGTTTCCGTTTGTAGGTGGAATTATGATGAATTATGCATCGGGGTGATCATGTTGGTTCCATGTGCAAACTAGCAATAAGTCTATATAGGATTGCCAGGTATTTCTTCACTCAATGAGCTAGTGGGGCTTGAAAGATGTCTTGCTGCCAGCTTTCCGTTGCATGTTGTTTGAGGTTTCCGCCCGTGACAAGCCACGTCTCTTGGCATCCACCAAGACTGTGAGTGCTGAGAATGACTGTGCATGAGAATGCCATAGAATGCCATAGTCTCAGCAAGACGTTTGCTACTCGTTCGTAAAACAACCCTGTTTTGGATTGTGTTGCTATGGCTTTAATTACCCGTACATGGATCAGAATGGGATTAAACTCGGAGTGAATGGGGTATGCTCTAGCAGCTCTAGCATTAGCACATCGGATGACCCAAACATGGCCCACCATCAGATCATCGGAAAAATGCACCAGGCCTCACGCGCTGGCAAGACAAGCTCCAAGGCCTTGAGATACGACGATGCATCGGCACAAAATGCTACACATATCCTGGACCATTTCTCCATAGAATCCTAGGAAACTCACAGGATTCTATAAGAAGTCACCTTTTTCTCCGCACAGCAATGTCAATTGGTCTGAAAAATCCTATGGAGAAATGAATCCAAAACCCATCACATTGAGGCTGTTGCAGGCTACGAGGCTTTTGCATGAAATATGTCATGTTCAAATGTGTTGTTCGATAACGGCAAGAATTACCCACAAAACTTTTTCAAAAAAGTATCAACTCCCGCAAATCCTGAACGTCCATGGAATCAAATTTCCTAATCACATTGCTGACTGCAAAACATATGACAAATGCATACAAATGCAAGGTCTTGAGCTTTACTAGAAAGCAGGAAATGCCAGGATTTTTTTTGAAAAGGGCGCTCCAGAATGTTACATTGAAACAATGATAAGCTACAACAAACACATGCGTTGGTGGCAATACTGCGAGCCTAGCTAGGCATTCCATGGCATTCTTTTGTTCCAAGACAGTTTGGGATGTGTAGGCCAGTGGCAGAAAGAGATTTGGGTTCAGAACTTCTGAACCTATTGTGCATATTGTGCAAGTTTTCAAGATCCAAGAACCTCCTTTGCCATTCCTTCGTGAATGATACTTAATGACCTACGTCGACACAGAGATACCGTTGAACCTCTGGCAATGAAAACATGGCAAATCATGGCAACCAAAAAACCTACCCTCTGGTAAACTAACATAACTATGGAATTTCACCATTTTCAATGGGAAAATCCACTATAAATGGTCATTTTCAATAGCTATGTTAAATAACCAGATGGTATATCAAATGGGCAGATCATCTGGAGATGTGACATCTTTATCTGCCATCTTTGAGAACCTATATCCTGATGGATCCTGATGGGGTGACAATGGCACCTTTTCGTTAACATCGCTAGCTCAGCAGGTCTTCCTGCGCATCCTCTGAGCCTCACAGAGTTCTTCCCAGCCAGCAAGCGCAGCGTTGACATTGGCAGCCTGTGAGCTGCCATTTGAGCAGTAACTGTACCGACCTCACATGGACCACCGAAAATGATGATATGATATGATGATAAGTGGCATATGTATAAGACTATAAGAAGTATTAAGAGGTAGTTTATAAGCAGATCCCCAAACAAACTTTGTCGTTTGGTTTGTGATTGAAATTTGCCCCATCGAAATTTCCTGGCGAGTGATCGGGTGCCATGGATGTGAAGGGAGACGGTGACTGATTTCATGGTGTAGATGCTGCTGATTCTGCTTGATGTTGTTGTCACAAAGTGGCAAAATACTGCAAAGTCATGGCTTGCATCCCTTCACATCCCTTCACATCCCTTCACATCCCTTCACATCCCTTCACATCCCTGGATTCTAGTCACATTTCCTGGTTGCTCCGTGACACGTTTCACCCCTTGGGCAGAACACCTGTCGCCAAGGACTGAGATGGTCTCAGTGACAGATTTTTTCTTAAATATTTCCTAACTATGTTTAACAGATGTGTTCTCGCGTGTTCGGCCACTTCTCTTTCAAGTTATTAACTTGGGCGGCAAGGCTTGGCATGCGCAGTATGGCACAGTTTCCGGACACCATTCTGGACATGGATGCTACCATGGCAGATCCGATGACCATCGCAGGCTGTAGGTGCAACCGTGGTCCCAGCAAATTGCTGCAGACTAAGTCCCGCAGCGTTGCCCAAGAGATGGTGGAGGAAATGGAAGGACAGTGCCTTATGTGCCTTCAAAGTAGGGTTGAATCAATGGGTATCAATGGGTATATTAAGCAAAGCCGGGTGTTTACCGGGTATATTAAACAATGGCAAATATTCCATTGCAAAACTTTGCAAACATTCAGCGTTTCCTTAACTCTCATTAACTCTCCCTTTCATCAATGCTCAGGCTGAAGGACTCAGACCGAAGGACTTGTTGCCATGTGCCACTACAGCTGCATCGCAGCATGATGCCAAGAACAGGATAGTAAAGAACGATTATGATCAGCATATCATGCAGAAGGCGGGACAAACTACGTGTAATTATCTATTTGCTGTTTCATGTTCGCACAGACAATCATAGATTTTTTGTTGGACAGCCACAAATTATCGAGAATCGGTGTTTGTATGGAATCCTGCAGCACTTGGCAGAGGCTGACTTTTGACCCGAATTAGATTTTGGCATTCGACCCAAACACCTGCTGGAAGTTTCCATGGATCAGGACTTTCGGCTCAAATTGGGCCATACGAGTCCTGGTGATTTGCAGCACCTTCTGCCCCTTCTGTCTCCAAAAGATAGATAGACTTATTAATGTCCTAATTATATAGTTAATATAGTTTACCCTGAGCTGTTTCTAGAGTGCTTTACTGTTACAACTTCCCATTGCACCTGTCCCTGGCCCACAAATAGATCCAGCAGCCTTTGGACCATCCAATTTCATCATATTTCATCCAAATCTTGGAAAAACTGGACAATCTTAACAAGATGCCGCCCTACCAGCAACGCTCAGGCAGATATTCGGCCTTTAACTGTAGTTGATCAGAGACGGTTACCGTTTAGTGTACACCCTTGGTGTTTCCTGGCAGGCCGGCAGGTCCAGATGAATTGGACCAAAAGTTGGAGCGGGGCTCCTCAGTGACGGCGCTAGGCCATGCTAGGCCAACCCAGTGGATCCAAGTGGCTCGGCCCATCTCGGCAAGGCCAAGGCAATTCATGGCGGCAAGATCGCCAGGATCGCAATGAAGGCAGTGGAGACACGGGGGCACTAAGTCACTAAGCTACTTTTGTCAGAGGAGTCAACTGCAGGCATCGAAAAAAGCGATGGAGAGAGATGCTTAGTGATCACCAACTGACTCAACTGACATTCTGACCTTCAGTGTTGGGGTCCTGTGAGCCCCAGAGAGTCTGCGAACTCGCGATAGTGGAGGAAGAGAGGAGCAGGAGCAAGTTGACATAAAAACTAGAGACCCTCACCTAGCAGCTAGGACCCTGGGACATCCTGGGACACATTCATCCAGACGGCAATGTATTTTTTTTTTGCCAAGATGCCGAGATGTGTCAAAATGCGCCTTCAGATGGTCCATTGCTTATGATATCTCACAGTGCCAGATGCAGGCAATGGTCACTGGCAGTGGCAGCCAGGCGGCCACGACGAGGAATGGGCGGAAGAAGCCCATGAGGAGGAGTGGGTGGAAGGCTGGCTGTGAAAGTCTCCTGCTGATCCTGTCCATTTCCCAAAAGCTGCGAGTTCAGGCGATGATGATGATGACTGGGGCGAGGATTTCTGGGAGGAAGAGACGAAAGAGGACGAATGGGACCATTGGCAGGACGCGGATGAGATGCAGACAAATGGCAGTCATTTTGTGATAGCTGAGATAGTAAAAGATGTAAAAGCAGCCAGCCAGTACCCAGTCCAGCGTCTCCATGTGTCTCCACTGCCCCAGGATAGAGGAGGCCAAAGAAGCCAAGGAAAAGGCAACGTCGGTCGACAAGTTGACCCACTTTCTTATCTTTCCCGAAGCCTGGAAACATGTCGCTGGTAGATGATTTGGAGACTTTCAGGATCGGTCAGGATCTTTCAGTTTTTCTGTCTTTCATGCATATCAACATGTATTTAGTCACTCTTGCAACATATTGCAACATATTGCAACATATTGCCACATATTGCAACATATACTGACTATGACTACCGTGGTTTCCCACTATTTCCCACGTGGCCAGGCTATTGGTCCCAGAACCGCCGGAACTGGAAAGGGGGGGGAAAAGGCCAAGGCCGGGACGTGGTCCTGACATCGGCACGGTCGGCCTTGATGCCATCAGTGGCTCCATATGCTATGCCGCTGCGCCGCCTGAAGCCACGGCTGCAGCTTACTGTATGGCACTGTATGGATGTCATGGTGAACTGGCTAGGCATACGCGGCTTTGAATATGATCTATAGTAATCTATAGTATAATAGTAATGTATAGTATACAGTATACAGAACACATGATGATTTGTCTAATATCTTGAAGTCACACAAGCAGCAATTGATAGTAATTGCACTGGCAAAAGTTGAAAAGTGTGACTTGTTCATATATGCGCACGCAGGTGCATATATAATATTATAGTATTATATATATATATAAATTCGGTGACAGCGCCGGGCGATGTTTTGCCATGGTGGTATGGCGTGGCCTAGCCTTAGCCAGCAGGGAGCTAAATTTGGGCGTGATGAATTGGATTGTTCAATTCGAATATTCCCAGAACTGGATGAAGGTACAATTGTCAGGAACCCCATGGAACCACATGAAAATCCTTGGAAAGAACCATGGTTGCCTGCAACCTTTCAATGATAAACACAGCCATTTGTGCAGGTCCATGGGTATCCCTTTGAAAGATATCCTGCCTCCCAGGTGTGCACCTATCGATCGGTCGAGGTCAGGATGCTCCAGAATTTGTACCCGAGCGATGTGGAACACTGACTTTCGACCAGAACCGATTGCCCCAGGGTGTCTGGGCTCAACATGTCCATGATTTCCATCATTTTTGCCATCAGTTTTCAAGGCATTGAGATTCAATGCGTCATGTCTTTAACATGTTTTCTTCCACCAGGTGGGTAATGAAAAGATTACAGGACCATCAGTTAGCCCAATGACCACTTCTGGATGATATTGTGGGTGCCCAATGGCTTGCTTTTGACAGCTCCTTGATGCTCCTTGTAGATGACGGGAGGCGAATGGCGAGAACTGATCTACGAACCATTCAACCACTGGAGCAGGCGAAGCCAGTGCCACGGGTTTACCTAGAAAGATGGTCCCTGTTGTTGTCACCTACCTGTCATTGGGTAGCACTTTGCAATTCCAGTTGCATATAGTGGATTATAGTGGCATCATGCAAGACATATTCGGATTTGTCACAGAAAAAAAAAAACTCACCTGAAAACACTTGTTGTCGGGCTGCAAACGAATACTGGAAGTGCCGCGAAGTGCTTGGAAGTGCCTTGGAAGCGGGAAATCCTAAGGAGAAGAGTGCACGACATCGATATCATTGTTTCGCTTGGCACAGGTACGGCGGCAACGTCCACCGCACCACGCGAGATATGGCCCTCTTGCTACGCAACGCCCTAATGCGTGGTCGGGGCCACATCGAAGGCAGGGGTAGCCTGGGATGGGGTTCGAAGAAGCTACCGATAGGCCGATAGGATCATATAAATAGTCCAAAACGGGGAATCGAAAAATGCAAGGCGGAAAAAATACAAAGGCGCTAAAAACGATACGTAATATAATGGGGTGTAACATGTAGGAATCATTGACCGTTGGAAAGATTTGGGATGCCATCGCTCTGTAGACAACTCATGGGGCTGTGTCAGTTTCCATTTGATTCCCCTTCGGACGGAGTTGTTTTGGGTCTTTGCTTCTTCGATGAACATGCACAAAAAAGGAACTATCAGACTTTGCAGATACGAGTTGGCAGGTGACAGCGGCTGCTCTTGCATTTTTCTGCTGGCGGTGCTCATTAGAGCAAGTGCCGACATCAGCTATGTTGGCAATAGCTTTGGGTCGCTGCTTGACAGAAGCCAAGTGCTGCCCATGGTGAACCAAAGGTTAACTTTGCTCAGCAGGATTCAATTTAGTCACCTTCATTTAAGCTTTCTAAGAGCCATGTCCCGAGGTTCTACGATATTGAGCATGCGGCAGCAGCTGACCTCATGGCATACTTCTCCCACATGATTGCGAGGCTGGAAGGATCTGCACCAGACCTTGAGAATCCTTAAGAGATCGGAAGAAAACGACCAGGCCCAGTCAGTAAGGCTCAAGATTACCTTCAGATTCTGAATTGATGGCTCAAATATGCTCAAATTCTTGACTCCCATTCTTTAGATGGCGCGATGCAGCAAATGATTCTATGGTTTGTTTCCATCCTTACCTGGCATGATAATTCCATATAATTCCCAAGGATTTTCATTTTCTTCAAGGTGGTTGATGGTGGTTGAAAGGACCAATCACAGGTATGTAACATCTGAATATATCTGATACATGTGCCAATCAATAAAGGACATATGACCCCTATTTTTGGTTATAGATAAATAAATACATATAAATAGTTAATATATATATTATATATGTCTTTGGTTTCCTCAACGCAACACCCCGCCCCAGGACTGCGGCTGCCCCGGTGGTGTCAGCTTGGCCGCTGCGCGCCGCTTGGCGCCGCACGCTCCAAACGTTCCGTGCCTTTGGCGCAGCACGGCATGGTGACCGTGGCCGCTGCGGCTGCCAGGAGCCGCGCCTGGCTGAGGTGAATGGTAGTTAATCATAGTCAATCGGGGTTAATTAATTGGGATAAGAATATAGTTAAACATACGTAGTTTATCCAACCCAAAATAGTCAATCATAGTGAAACCAACCATAACCAACTCAAAATTGGGACATAAATGGATATAATTCCAACCATATGGGACTGGAGAATGGGATAAAGCATCAACAATATCCGGACACACATATATATATATACAATTATACAGTCATTTGGGATGTAAGCTTATGGGGGTATCATAGTGTTGATAGGTTGATGGGAGAATATAATGGGATACACAACCAACAGTTACAATATGATGTGGGTTTATTTGAAAATAAGGGGGCCGCCAAATTGTGGCTATTTTAAGGGGGATGCTAACGATTGACCGTCAAATTGGTGGGCACCCCCTTTAATGGAGGAATTGGACGTGAAATTGAGATTGAACACCTGGGGGAGACTGACATAGACTGATGCAGTACACATGTTGACCCTTTTCAAAGATGTGGCTGTACAATAAGATACGTGGCCAGGAGCCAGACAGTTTCCTTACGCCCGTGGCTTGCCCTGCATGTTGAAGGCCATGGGGTGAAATTGCATGATAATTGGCATATTTTTTTTCCATATCTCCTTTCCTGCATAATATAACAAATCCATGCAACAATAAACTCCCACTTAAGAATGGTTTGCAACACTGAATTCCGGTAGATTTGGGGATTGACTTAACCGCATTTATACCACATTAATCTACACAATCCCATTTGCTTCTCACATTATCTACTGTATGCCTTGTCAACCAATGGTAGAAGCCGGGTCAACGTAGCAGTGACAGAGCCAAGGCGTTGCACCTTCTACGAAATATGCAGCCATCAAACTGGGCAGTGGCTGACTGGACCAGTTTCTTAGACTTTGAGGACCCCAGGTTGCGGCAATTGATGGAGATGCTTGGATGAAGCCATTTGCCAAACGGTTCTGCTGGGGGAACCAGGCCCGGAAGTGTGTAGAATTATATATAATATTATAATATATCATATAATTGGAGCGAAGACTTGGTGCATTGAGTAATGCTAATGAACTTGATCAACTAGTAGCTCTTGTTTCAAGAATTTGAGTTTCATCATATTTCATCCATGTCTATTCCATTTCGAAAAAAACACGGCTTCTCCGTGCGAAACCGCGAAACGCTTCGACATAACTTTCGGCACAGGAAGAGTTGCACCTACGAGACTAGCTGTTCCGACGTGCAAGTCATCGCCCATTTGCTGTGTGCAGCTGGGCTGTTGCATAGCCAAAATCATGCACCATGACAGCCATGACAGGACATCTTCTCGTTGGGCACGGCAGGATAAAGGGAAGCACTCTTTTGAAGAATACAACACTGGACTTGGGAAAACAGCGCCGAGATTCCTGGGTCGACACTGTGTCGACACCTATGATACTGTACCAGATTGATACTACATCCACAACACAAACAACGGCGATGTGAGAAAACATAAGAAAACAAAACACCTAGGGGTTGATCGTTTTTTTTTTACATCGCCATGTGAGTTTTTTAGAATTCGGGTAGCCCCCAACCACGGGATCCAGCACTGAGGCTGAGCACTTCTTGCTCGCGGGAAATGCTGCCAGGTCCCTACATAAACGTGGCAGGCGCTACTTCAAGAGATGGGGCAGAATTTTTCTATGCATACCCCATGATATCCCGAACCCTATCCCGAGAATGGACTCCCCTGGCATCTCAAAATTCACAGATCCGATTCAATGATTGCCGGAGAGGACTACTATATCATTTTGTACACATTATATAATATGTATCTATATAATATATAATATATATACACCGCATCCGTTAATATAAGCTTCACATTATACATATTACAAGTTGTCCTTTTCCTCAGAGTCGCTCCGGGATGGTGCAAGCGTTGCGCCAGGGCTGCGGAGGTCGCGATGTTCGCACCCTTTTGCCACGATGCTCTTCGGGCGATTGGATCTATCGAAGATGTTGTGCTTGGGCAGATACGGGGATGGATCAAATGCATAGATGTTGTGGGATGTTGTGGGGATGAACTGGATGATCATTCATTAAAAAGGTGTATTTTGGGGGTGAACAGAAGGGTTACAGGGTCTTCATACCTGTATCATGAGCACTGGTCATCATGGACACATTTTTAGACTTGCATCTACTTGCTGAGCCTACGCGAAGAAATAATCACGTTTTACAGGTTTACATCACTATCCTGACATGTCCTGACGAGTACATTGCAGAGTTGGAGCCAGTGATCAGTAACTGGTTGGTGGTTTGGAACATGGCTGGATGATTTTCCCCATTAGTTGGGATGCTGATCCAATCTGACGAACTCATATTTTTCAGGGGGGTAGGTATACCACCAATTAGGTAAATACTTCATGCCAGTCATTTTTCTTCCGGAGCCTGACGCTGAGGTGTACAATGCAGCTTTGGGAATCACTGAGGCGCAGAGAATCGTGTAGTACACAAGGGATGGAGACCATTAAATTCAGACTTCCCAGCTTTTTCTAAAACGTATATTTATTATTTAACCATATGTTTATAAATATACAGTTATAGATAGTTATAGTACGTTATAGTTAATTATATTAATAACAATGACGTACAATAACTATATTATAGTTTTGTTTTGACTTTTGTTTGGTCCACGGAGGGGCGCCGGCCAGGCCAATGCAAAGTTGACTTCTGCTTTTCTTCACCGGGCGTTGGTTTGGAGGCCACAGAAACGAATTCTGTGTTACAGATTTCAGAGGCGAAGAAATTCAATGCCTCTGTTTAAGCCTTTTCTATTTTCTATCCTTTTCATTTCCTTCCATTGTTTTAAGATGTTTCAAGCCTTTCACTGAGTTTCGTGAAATGCCACAGCCGAAGTCCGGTCACTGGGTGGCGTCAGGCCAATGCCCGCACGCTTTATGGTGCAACCCCGTGTGGTGTGCATCTCAGGTGGATGGCTTGGTTTTTAGATCAAAAGGAATCAAAACCCAGCAAATTCAATATCATTTCATATGGCAGTGTGTCAAAACCTTGTACCCCTGGTGAACATCAAAATAGCTGGTAAATGGATGTTCATCCCCCTAAAAAAGGTATTAATAGGTATTGATCCATACCCATATCATTTCATATAAATTGAACAAAGGGACATATGAATAGCATGTGTAAATTGAGTAAACACATGTTGTGTTCCAGGCCAGTGGCCGGTGGATCTTTTTTTGGAAAGCCCTGGCGGGTCTCAGGCGACGCACCACTTTGAAGCTCCAATGAACGACGGCAGCGAAGGCCGTCAGCGCTTTGCCCTGTTCCTTGGCGAAAATGATGGGCCAACATGCCTTGAACCTGAGATATAGCCTGATAAACTGATAGATAGATTAGATAGTATGTGATGCTGATTGATGTTATTTTATCATATAGCATATTTTGCAGGAATTCTATGTCCCACACTGGCGCGAGATGGCGCAAGTGTCAGTTAAATTGAATCATGAAGGACCACTGAATAGCCTTGACAGCAGAGTTGCAGTCAAACCCTTGACACTTCGGGGCAAGGGCAGAAAGCATGAGCTGTGACGGGCACTGGGATAGATTTGAGAAAGGATTGGGGGATACATGTGAACATCACCAACCGTGACCTGTTGAAGACGAAAATCAGTGAGATTCAGTCAATATATTTCAATGCATTTCATCCCCACATCTTTGCAAGGTTCGCGACGCTGGTGCAGACTGAGGACTCCAGTGCCTTTGGTGCTTTTTACTATAGATTGTTTCCTTATATGAAATGAATGGATCTTGAATAGTCGCGCAGCCGCAAGTCTCTTGATATCTCCTGCTGATTTCTAAGTGCCTGGAATTGCCGTCTTGCATGCAATGCTGCTAGCATCAGAGACGTTCCTGAATGCCCGTGTTGGATCGTGTTGGATTTGGAGGACCACTACAAGGAGCAGAATTTTGTTCTGGATGCGATGCGGTTGAAATGTTCTGCAGATCGCTGGGGAGTGGAATTGCCATTCCACATCATTTACGGCGGTGGACTGATGGAGCCTCGTCCAGACATGTCCAGACACTGCCTGGGTGCTCATGCTCGTGACGGGATCAGGCTGTCTGTCACTGGATGAAAAAGAGCTAAGGAGTCTGAGTTGACCCTGCTGATGAGCTACTTAGCTGCCATATGCTGCGACCGCAAGATTGATTTTCGCGATGTTACCACATCCCTGGAACCATCTGGAACCTGATCTCATTTGTTCTCCCTGAGAACTCTTGCCAAGGATTCGGATTCATCATCGAGGATTACTCCAAAGAGGTGACGGCCAACCCCAAACCCAGCAATTGTGCCACAGATGTTCGACTCCTCGAACTAAAGTAGCTAAAGTCTCTCAATGTCTCTCAAAAAGAAAGAAAAAGATGGTTGGGGATGTTGGGGATGTTGGGGATGTTGGGGTCGCGGTTTCTTGAGGTCCCAGCAAACATTGAGCCTTGCATAGCCTTGCATAGCCTTGCCGCAGGTGGATTTCATCAAGAGCAAATGCTGCGGGCTGTGTCCACAGGAGCGGCGAGATGGCTGGGCCACAGCCTTCAAGCTGTTTGCTTGGAGGGCGGTCGCCTATGCCCGGCCCTGAGATGACATTACTTTCCTCACGTGGCCAGGGGGATGAGCATCCCGGACCGGTGATGCAACATGATGCAACGGATCGCAACAATTATTGAACTATAAGCCCTATATATATATATATATCAAACCACAAATTCCACAAATTTGCGTGTGAACAAATATCACAAGTGCAGGTGGATATACTTAGACTGTTAGTTTTGATGCTGACATATCGATGTCATGGCCCCCATGGCCCCTGACATCCTTTGAGGACTTGGTGCTGCACGTCGATATGGACGCCTGCTTTGCTGGCCGATCGCCGGCCAATGCTTTGAAGGTTGGGTTTGGGGCCTTGGAGAGTGGAACCAGTTGCTGTGGTTCGATGTGCCCCCTGAATTTGGCCCCCAAAAAATCATAAATCATCCAATGGTGGATTTGGATGGATTTGGATGGATTTGGCAGGATGTACAGAAGCTGAATGTCACTTTCCTGAGCGACGAGTCTCCTTCAGGCAGCCGAAGTAGCGTGGGCTGTGGGTTAGCCTGGACACAATGAATACCAATGAATTGTTCCGACTTCTTATTCTCAGTTGCCCTGCAAGTTTTCAACCAGGAATTCCATTTCTTCTGGTATCTGGATGATAGAAGCAATGTTACGTCATTTTGCAGCACATGACACGCACAGTTGGAGGAAGTGGTCGCAGCGATGATCCATCTGCAGGTTTCGGCTGGCATTCACATATTTTTGTGCTGAAGCCAGCGATGAGCAAATTCAAGGACACGTTTTGATGCCGTGTGCATTTGGATCAGCTAAGCATCAGGGACAAATGTAAGACATGTGAGAGAGATCAGCATCATGTTCATTCATTTTCATCATTCAGGGAAGGAAGCAGATGAAACAAGGTCTCAAAATGGAAGGCGAATGCCCGAGTTTATATTTCGATATATTTTCGTATTATACACTTTTTGTGGTGGGAAATGGTGGGTTTAAATGTGACCTTTGACACTTCCCACGTTTGCCTGAGCTGGCCAACATGGACATGAATTGGTGAAATTTCCCTGAAGGATCAACTTGTTCCGAACTGATAAGTATGATAAGTTTCAGGACATCTATGTGTGTCACATTGGTATGTCCAGAAACATCAGAAACGGGATATCGGGTATACATGGGTATACGGTGTACCCCCCAAAATGTACCAGGTCACCAACATTGCAATTTCAGCAATGGGAAACATGATGATAAACCCATCGGATTTGGGGGCTGCTCAATTTTTGGAGACATCCCCCAGTTAATCAACATAGATATGACAAATCCCGCATTCAACAGATCATTTCCTCGGGACACCATGGATTTTCCATATCTCAAGTTCCATATTTATCGATATTTATCTATATCTATATAATTCTATATATATATATATATCTCTCTCTCTGTATATATATATATATATCGATTTTTTGCATGGGTTTGAACATGTTTGAACACTTGTTCAGCTCATGAAGTGCAGGAGATCATGGACTTCGAGTTGGGTAGCCCGTGTCACGGCAACCAGAAATGGGAAGGGCAACTCCGATGCTGTGGAGCTTGCACTTCACTTCAATTGTTGGTTGTTTTCAAAATATGACCTTGGGATGATGATGGAGGATGATCGACCTTGCCCCTCAAACAATTGTTTAATTGTTCACAAAGAGTGAAAACATATGCAAATCGCCAATCAGGCGGTTTGGATTCCATGGGTTTATGACCCATAGGATCCATGTATGCTATATATGGTAACATTTACCATCAATATACCCCAAATGTTAGTATATATACCATACATGGATCCTATGGGTGATGGTTTATGGCCGTCACATGCAAGAGCCCGCCTGCTAAACGGCGTCGCATTTTGTTGCCCAGCTGCCAACGACCAGCACTCCGCCGCAGCATTTCATGTCTCAGATGCACTGAACCAATATGGAATCCAAACACATCCGTTTTTCGCTTTGCTAGAGGCATTTCAGGCCTAATACAGGGCTTTCCATCTGAATTCGAGATGTTTCTTCCATGTTGCTGGAATTTCAGGTAGTTTGATGTTTTTTTTTGTCCAAACATGTCCAAACTGGTCCCTTTCACACGATGATCGGCGTCGACAGGCTTTTCTTGGCATGGTGCGTCCATGCAGACGACTAGGAGGCCAAATTCAATTGCCATCTGTGAAGAACGAGTAGGTCTGAGTATTTCCAAGGATGACTTTCTAGTGTTTTCAGACCGGGAAACAAACAGAGAAAACATGAGACATCAATAGATATAGTTTATATATATAATACATATGTGAGTGTGTGTGCGATCAGAGATGAAAACAGCTTCAAATGCCTTCTTTTCAATCCATACCTTGGATAATGCTCTCCACTTGCAGAAGATTTTTGGGGCTCACCAGATGACCCGAACGCCGTGGCAGAGGCCTCATTGGTTTCATTTTGACGCTTCGGTATGCTAGCGCTCAGTGCTTCGAGGCGGAGCGTGATAGTCACTTGAGTTGGGTTCATTGATCATGTTGATGGTGGTTTAGTCTTGATGCGATTTGTGTGTGGCTTTTAAGGTCCACATTAATGTTGGTTCCTGATTAGTGTGTGGCCCCCCCCTCCCCTAAACTATATCTGGACTCTCTTTAAAGTAGAAAAGCAAAAAAATTCTTCCCAAAAGAAAAACATATCCTCGATTAAGTAAGGATTTCAATTGGCTACAATTGAAATCTAATTAAGATTGTGTTTTTTGCCGATGAAGTTGTGGTATTTGTAGTACTTGTAGACTTGTAGTACTTGTAGTACATGTAGTACTTGTAGTACTTGTAGTACTCGTAGTACTTGTAGTACTTGTAGTACTTGTAGTACTTGTAGTTGTAGTACTTGTAGTACTTGTAGTACTTGTAGTACTTGTAGTACTTGTAGTACTTGTAGTACTTGTAGTACTTGTAGTACTTGTAGTACTTGTAGTACTTGTAGTACTTGTAGTACTTGTAGTATTTGTAGTACTTGTAGTACTTGTAGTACTTGTAGTACTTGTAGTACTTGTAGTACTTGTAGTACTTGTAGTACTTGTAGTACTTGTAGTACTTGTAGTACTTGTAGTACTTGTAGTACTTGTAGTACTTGTAGTACTTGTAGTACTTGTAGTACTGTAGTACTTGTAGTACTTGTAGTACTTGTAGTACTTGTAGTACTTGTAGTACTTGTAGTACTTGTAGTACTTGTAGTACTTGTAGTACTTGTAGTACTTGTAGTACTTGTAGTACTTGTACTTGTAGTACTTGTAGTACTTGTAGTACTTGTAGTACTTGTACTTGTAGTACTTGTAGTACTTGTAGTACTTGTAGTACTTGTAGTACTTGTAGTACTTGTAGTACAGTACTTGTACTTGTAGTACTTGTAGTACTTGTAGTACTTGTAGTACTTGTAGTACTTGTAGTACTTGTAGTACTTGTAGTACTTGTAGTACTTGTAGTACTTGTAGTACTTGTAGTACTTGTAGTACTTTAATAAGGGATTCTCCTTTGGGAAAGGCTTGGGTTTGAATTTGGCAATTTTGGAAAAGGCTTGCTTCCCTTCTGGGCTTCCAGGAGCTGCTCTGGCACAGCTTGCTGCAATAGTGAACCCAGCAAACAAACCTACTAAAGTGAAATGGGGCCTCTCCTGGTCCAGGGCCTTGGGAAATTGTGGAAAAGCTGTTCTTTAATAAGGGTTTAATAAGGGATTGGCTCCTTTGGGAAAGGCTTGGAGTTTGAATTTGGCAATTGCCTTTGGAAAAGGCTTGCTTCCCTTCTGGGCTTCCAGGGGCTGCTCTGGCACAGCTTGCTGCAATAGTGAACCCAGCAAACAAACCTACTAAAGTGAAATGGAGCCTCTCCTGGTCCAGGGCCTTGGAAAATTGTGGAAAAGCTGTTCTTTAATAAGGGTTTAATAAGGGATTGGTTCTTTTGGGAAAGGCTTGGAGTTTGAATTTGGCAATTTTGGCAAAGGCTTGCTTCCCTTCTGGGCTTCCAGGGGCTGCTCTGGCACAGCTTGCTGCAATAGTGAACCCAGCAAACAAACCTACTAAAGTGAAATGGAGCCTCTCCTGGTCCAGGGCCTTGGAAAATTGTGGAAAAGCTGTTCTTTAATAAGGGTTTAATAAGGGATTGGCTCCTTTGGGAAAGGCTTGGAGTTTGAATTTGGCAATTGCCTTTGGAAAAGGCTTGCTTCCTTCTGGGCTTCTAGGAGCTGCTCTGGCACAGCTTGCTGCAATAGTGAACCCAGCAAACAAACCTACTAAAGTGAAATGGAGCCTCTCCTGGCCAAGGGCCTTGGAAAATTGTGGAAAAGCTGTTCTTTAATAAGGGTTTAATAAGGGATTGGTTCTTTTGGGAAAGGCTTGGGGTTTGAATTTGGCAATTGCCTTTGGAAAAGGCTTGCTTCTCTTCTGGGCTTCCAGGAGCTGCTCTGGCACAGCTTGCTGCAATAGTGAACCCAGCAAACAAACCTACTAAAGTGAAATGGGGCCTCTCCTGGTCCAGGGCCTTGGGAAATTGTGGAAAAGCTGTTCTTTAATAAGGGTTTAATAAGGGATTGGCTCCTTTGGGAAAGGCTTGGAGTTGGAATTTGGCAATTGCCTTTGGAAAAGCTTGCTTCTCTTCTGGGCTTCCAGGGCTGCTCTGGCACAGCTTGCTGCAATAGTGAACCCAGCAAACAAACCTACTAAAGTGAAATGGAGCCTCTCCTGGTCCAGGGCCTTGGAAAATTGTGGAAAAGCTGTTCTTTAATAAGGGTTTAATAAGGGATTGGTTCTTTTGGGAAAGGCTTGGAGTTTGAATTTGGCAATTTTGGCAAAGGCTTGCTTCCCTTCTGGGCTTCCAGGGGCTGCTCTGGCACAGCTTGCTGCAATAGTGAACCCAGCAAACAAACCTACTAAAGTGAAATGGAGCCTCTCCTGGTCCAGGGCCTTGGAAAATTGTGGAAAAGCTGTTCTTTAATAAGGGTTTAATAAGGGATTGGTTCTTTTGGGAAAGGCTTGGAGTTTGAATTTGGCAATTTTGGGAAAGGCTTGCTTCCCTTCTGGGCTTCCAGGGGCTGCTCTGGCACAGCTTGCTGCAATAGTGAACCCAGCAAACAAACCTACTAAAGTGAAATGGAGCCTCTCCTTGGTCCAGGATAAGGGATTGGTTCTTTTGGGAAAGGCTTGGGGTTTGAATTTGGCAATTTTGGCAAAGGCTTGCTTCGCTTCTGGGCTTCCAGGAGCTGCTCTGGCACAGCTTGCTGCAATAGTGAACCCAGCAAACAAACCTACCTTGACTGAGCTACAGCGTTTTTGAGAAAAAAATGCCTCTCAGCAATTACAGTTTTTTTTGCCAAAAAAAGGGCTCTCCCAATTTTGTTTTGCCACAAAAGCGAACCCTCCAAACAATACATGAGTTTCAGAATAATTTGGAAAAATTTGCCACAATAGCGACCCTAGGTACTAAACAGGACCCAACATTAGTCTCTATGGCCTGGCATGGTTAATGCATGTTGATGCAGCATCTGTCTCCTGACCCCATGGTGGCGATGTCAGGAGATATGCACTGAGGATTACAATAGCTTGCTGCAACGAAGCTTTGACTGCAGATTAGGCGATCTGCTTTTCACGCACTGCAGCAGTTTGAGTATATTAAAAAGAAACACCTTGATACAGTGATGTGTAGTGGATCATAGTGGATCAGTAGGCATTTCAATATATTTCAATTGATTGCATTAACCATTAAGAATCATTAAAAATCATTAAGATATATTAGGAAGGGAAATGTCGGGCAACTCAGAGTTCGCGACATGGACAAAACAATGCGTGTTTTTCACATGTTTGATGGAAAAATGCCACCTGAGGGAAAAAACAGCGACGGAGCTCCATGAGTTTAGATGATGCCATCCAAAAAGCGCGTGCCCTGGCTGAAGCCACCTTTCCTGGGGACCACGGGTTTGGAATGTCGCGCCATGGATAAGGATGACAAGGATCCGTGCCTCCAATAGTGGTGGTAGCTTAGTGCTGGATTTCCCAGGGTTCCGGCGCTTGGATCAGGCGAACTCGCCAGTAAGATGAGTTTCGACGAGAAGTCACAGATCGTGAAAGGAACGGCCTACGATACCAACGCCCCTTGCCCTGGTTTTGCTAAAAAACGGCATAGCAAGGGAGGGAACATCCAGCTATTGTTCATGTAAATTTGGAGAGCAGTGCGTGGCATCCCAATTTGAAGATAGCAGTCAGTAGCAGTGATGAAAATAGATCAAAGCCGTCCAACTTGACATTTTTTGACCTGTTGGCTGTGCCATCATCGAGGTGTGGAATCCTCCTCCGGGATTTTTTGTGGGCAACACGGCGGCCGTGAAGCACTTGGGCATTCCATCCCTAAACCTGCAGGACGCGATCATGGCTAGCATCGATCACTAGGCGTACACCGGGTACACCTCCTATGATTCCACGAGCCTATATGGATTAAGGCTACAGTGCATCCAAGTTGGGGAAAATCCGGGAAAGTCAATATGAACATAATCTTCCAAACCTCACTTTTGAGGTTCCGTGTTCAATTTGGGGGTTGATCATGTTGAATCATCAAAAAGCATTGAAAGCGCTACGTTGGGGGTATACCGCACTTGTTGATGGCTGCAGTACAACGGTCAAGGCTACCGGACTACGGACGTCAGGATCATTGGCAAGGTTGGGCTGCAGTTTCTATAAAGATCACATTGCCAGAATTTGATCAATACGATACAGGAATTGCATATGATAACAATGATAACAATGCATAATAATATATAATAGAAATTATAAAATATTTCACAATAATCATTACATAGATGTATGCTGTGTGCTCACTGGCCATTGTACTGGCAGAATTGATCAGAAAAGATACTGCGATGAAATTATCAACGTTACAACAATGATTAGCCATCAGGCACCACAGTATACCACAATAATCGTATATATCATTTTGGCTTGGGCATCCCTTTGAATAGATCCTTAAGTAATTCCGCAAAGGTTCCGTGTTTTTTTTTTTATGTTTTGAATACAGCATTAGGATCCCAGGCCAGTCCCATGTCAGGTGGAATTTGCACCTTTTACATCTCTGGATCAGCCCATTTTTTCATTATTCATACAATTATTCCATATTACTGTAATCCAGCTATTCGAATTGCGACGGCTTTCCACGGGTTATATAAATGTTCCGGTTCATGATCAATATTTTTCATTGATACTCTGATTCTGATCTTTATACTGCAAAACAATTTAATTAAAGTTATAGGTACGTGTATATAAATGTTTCTACATAGATGGAAAATAGATTCCGGCATATTCTGTCGCGTAAAGCCGTCAGAATCAAGCATCATAATCATAATCACCATCAAACTAAGCCCATCATAGCCACTATAATGGCCATCACAAGTACAATTATCATCAATTATAATTATCATCATATAACCAGCAATAATCGGCCAGGGTGTATAACCATCTTTAAAAAGTGAGTTGTGCTACTAGGCTCCCCAGGTCACTGCCTACCCTTCAACACTGGCCGTGGCTGCAACTTGGGACCGAGAGCTGGGCTTCACATGGGGCGAGGCGGGCAAAATCGTCGGTTTTGCAGCATTTTGTTCTCCGAAAATGGGATGAACATGGGATAAACACCGAAACTCGAAGGATTTGGACTGAAGATGACTGAAGAAACTTCCGTTACTGATTCCAAGTGGCATATTTCGGGCCATCATTCTTGGAGGGGGTTTATGAAACATCCCCGACATAGGGTTGATTCGGGATGGTGATTGCTGCACTTATCACATCTTATCACTCCAACCTCTGGCACCTGGGAGGCTTTGGGCAAAGAGTTCTTTGCCAAGGGCGGCAATGTGCTTTTGGGCCCTGGTCTGAACGTGCATCGCGTTGCTCGAAACGGGCGAAATGTGATTCGGCCGCAATCCTGGCAATCCTGGCAACCAAGAGGCTTTGGCTGTACGCTACCATGGGGGCTACCATGGGCTAGCCCAGAACAGACATTTTGGTTTTAATCACTGAACGAATGGATTTCAGGGGTACGTGGGGTGCGCAAAGCCAATGCCGCGGCTGTCAGGTTGAGTACTTGTCCGGCGAAGCTGGTTTCCTGGGTGCGGAGCTCGTGCACGGCTATATCAAAGGAGTGCACTCCCAAAATGTTCCTTGGAAAAGAAGTTGGCAACTGTGTCATGTTAAAAGAAGCCTTAACATTTCGGGACATTTGGTACAAAGGTGCTGCATTGTCCTGTAATCCTTGTTCTCAAGAGCTTGGGACTTGCTCTGGTCTCTCAGGTGGTTACTGTCATGAAGCACTTCATAGGGAACAACCAAGAGACTTTGCGTGACCTGGCTGCCAGGGGGCTGCGGGGGTAGATGTTGCATTTGTTATGCATTTGTTTCAACTCAGTTTGGAGCTTTGAATGTCTTTCATTCTTCATTATCTTCCCATATCTTTCAATAGTAACCTCTTGGATGGTTGATGATGATTGGGTGTTGGTTCATACCCGGAACTGAATGGTTGGTGTCATGTTTCAACGCCATGGACGCCATGTAGCACACCAAAAGATTCGCCTGTCCCTTGGATGCCACGAGGCAGCTTCGTGGACTCCATCATTTCTCAACGGGCGCTGTGGGAAGTGTACTATCAACCCTTCCAAGCAGCTTTGGAAGCAGGCCCCTGGATGGGCAGGGCCTCAAAATATAGGGCGTCCTGCTCGGCCGCTCGGCGATGCTGTTGATGTTGCAAAGCAAAGAGGAATTTGTTGTGCCAGGTTGCCTTTCAACAATGTGCGCCTATAACTTGGTCAACGGTGCCCTGGCAAGACTTGAGAGCCACCCTTGGGCCCTGGTGAATTGAGGTTTACCATCCTGCTTGGAAATGTGAGAAGGGAGGGGTCACATTCTTTGTGCATCGTTGCGGTCCATAAAATATATAAAATATGAAGTGGCACTGCACATTCCTGAAGAAGCTTTATATGCACATGCACCATGCAGATCCTGTACTGCAAGTCCAGCCAAACTGCTTGCCCAGGAATTCACGCCTGCCAAAATGGTGATTCTTGATTGAATACTGTAGGGCTTGCAAAGACTCGAGAGGGAGAGACATGGGGAGACCAGCCGGACCATTTCTAGGTGCGGGTCAAAGGCAACGCCGCAAACTTGCACGGGTTTTGTGCTGTTTGCCTTCCGATACGCAGAGAAAGGGTATGGAAAGGACATCAGGTGTCACAGTGACACACCTGTGTGAGTGTGCATCTTGCCATACACCACTGTATGTTTTGGAAAGGATTCACAGAACATAGCAACAAAATGCAACAAACGCATCAAGAAGTCAGTCGAATGCTCACCCATTTTGTGGGTGGTTTTTATTGATTTAAAGTAGGCCATAGTAGGCCGAACTCTGGATCCACCAAGGACATTATGCAGACGGACTTGAAGGACACCATCGGCTACAAAGGCTTTATCATGAGCGACTGGTGGGCACTTCATGCATTTTCAGCTCTCAAAGGCAGGGAACATGCCACCATCAACCCAAGGGTGATGCCTCCAGTGTTGTCACTCAACGCTCCAGATAGATACGCAAAAATCAGCCACATGCCCTCAACTCACACCCTTACAAATAGGGCTTGGAAGACAAGTCTTTCCTCGAAAAATGGGTGATTCTCAGGGTATATGTGAGTCCTGGGGGATGTTACATCAAACACATTCAGAAACCATTGATGTCAGTGCACCGCATACGTTCTGCCTTCGCATCGGGGAATGGGCGTGTGCAGGCTTAGACCAGGAGATGCCGGGCAACAAGATTGATGGCAATCCCATGAATCAGGTCTTGGTGGGCTCGGTAAACATGCCAAAGAATTGGACACCCCAAAATATGGCGGTTTGATGCGATTTGTTGATGGACAACATGGAAGATCTGGAATGCTATGAAAAACTTTTGAACAACAACATTTTGGTCTCACCCACCGGATTTGGGGGACAGAATTTTCGGAGAAACATGCCATGGTGCCATGCCCCACTCTACGACTCTACGCCGACTCTACGCCTTCACAGGTGTACGACACCACGAAGGACCTATCGACCTTACCTGAGGACTTCCTGGAATCAATGGTGGCGCGCATCCTGCTGCCGGTAGCCACTTGGTAGGATGCTTTTCTTCACTGACACATTGTCCAAGCAGTCTATAGAGGCATGATGAAGCATGTCCAAGTTTGCAGTCTAGATCATGATTGATAGGACGGATAGGATTGGTATTCTGTTATAAGTTTTGTATATATTTATACATAGGGTGCGAAATGGTTGAGCAGGAGAATCGCCTTCAACTACCTCAGGGTTTGCGGCTGCGAGTCACGCATTGCTAAGGTGAAGTATGGCTTGATAGAGAACCCTGTGTGCAATCCAGTCAATGGAGGCTGTGACCACCAGGCCTGCAGAAGCTTTCAGTTTGAGGCCAATTTCGGAGGCTCAGAATAGACCAGCCTACCCTGTGCAACTTATGAGCTTTCAGTGAATAGTAGCCTCTAGAGTTCTGAGCTTTAATGGATTTTAATGCTCTTACCATTCAATGAAATTCGTTGAACTAACATTAATTGATAAACACTGAAAAGCTAGTTGAAACAACAGCCTTTGCCAGCGCCACACCCTGTCGCTCCATTCGGGCAGATTTGGGTTGCGTTGTTCGATGTTGTTCGCAAGGCACAAACTTGTCACATGCTTGTTTTTCTGCCCTGTCAGATCTACGAAGTTAATGCACGGTCGCCAGAACATCAACAGCTGGCACGGCGAATGGTGGCCGAGTCTGTTGCTTGGCATTTAGCCGCAGCTGTAGTCAGATCATGTCAGACTGCACCCCGAAAATGGCACAACACGCATGAAGGCTCGCCGTCTTCCAGCCTGGTTTGGACCAAGGTGATTCTTCTCGAGAACGAGCACCTTGACTTTCATCAAGCCCTCGTGATACAGGTTGACCAGGTTGTGGAAACTCCCCATTTTGCCAAAATCCTGCGCTTTTAATTGGCGCAATTTGTCGGGTAAAAGGCGTAATTTGCCGGGTAAAAGGCATAATTATGCGTAATTAATTGGGCAACCGCATGCAGCCACCCACTTTCAATTTCGAAATCGAAATCCTAGGTTTTTCAGGCATATATATACTTACGTGATTATACGTGTATATTTACAGGAGCCTCGTGACCTTTTTCTATCGACTCCATGGCTCAAGCCAACATAAATCATCTGTCTGCCAATCGGCATGGAACCTGAAAGACAATGACGAACCCCCAGTTTGTTAACATGGGGGCCACCAATTTTATAGTGTTTTATCATGTTTTATCACCAATATAACCATATATTTGTGTGTGTAACCCCCACCTTATATATATAATATGTATATATGTATGTATATATATATATACATATATATATATATACTATATATTTCTCTGCAACCCCCAAATAGTCAGGGTGTGACATTGATCGTGCTTTGATTGACAGAACTTGCTGCGCTCGAGGGACGAGACCTTACCCTTGGGCAAGGATCTCACCATCGCAGTACTGGGTTCGGCGTGCCAGTCGAAACAGGACATCACCCAAATGCTGGACAAGTCACGTGGCAGATGCACATGTTGTGTTTTTTTCTAATGTTTTTTCTAATGTTTTGTCATCCCACCTGGCCCACCTGGCCCAAGATTTCTCAAGATGCATAGATGCAACATGATGCAACATACTCCGAAATCTTTTGAATCGCTGCAAGAAAGAAAACCTCGCTGGATTTCAGCTGGATGCTTCCAGCAGCTGTGGCGCGCTGTGTTTACAGAGGTGGGATCTGGGCAACTACTACACCGTTGGCGGTTCTGGCAGAGTGATTCCCAAAGATCCTGTGCCGGTGTCTCAATGTCTCAATGTCTCAATGGCATCCGATGGCATCCGATGGCCACATTTTTTGACATTTCCAGGTGATGGCCACGTTTCAGCGTGTTTCAGCATATGCATTGATTTTTAGTGCACCTGGCCACTTAAATTGACATTTCCAGGGTGATGGCCACGTTTCTGCGTGTTTCAGCAATATGCATCGATTTTTAGTGCACCTGGGATCACCTGGGACGGGTTGGTTGATAAATTGCTGCAGGTCCATCTTGGAAGGCATCCAGGATGCCTGCAAGTTCGCAAACTGCAAGGTGCATTCGGATCTGTCCGATGATGCGGAGGTGTTTACCTCAGTTCATCGGAACATGTTTTCACAGGGGTTCATACAGGACATGCTTCACTAGCTTATCAGATAGGAAGGTTCTTGAAATTGGGGAATGTATCCTAGAAGTAATTAAGATGAATTAAGACCATGGGTTTCTCTACCAGTGGTCGCACATGACTTGGAACAATCTCAAATTAGAGGTTACTAAGGCTTGCAAACTAAGGTTGCTGTGAATAGTTATGTGAATAGTTGCTTTATATATAAATAATCTTCGAATTAGTTAAGGTAGTTAAGAACAAACAATATCAACCTCAAGTATCATCAGAATATATCAGAATATATATTAATATTCTTATCTTATCAGTTCTATTCATTTCTTATCCCCCAAGAGCGACGGGCGCAATTTCCTCAGGTTGCCTCGAAGGTGGCCCAGGAGGCCAAAGCCGACGTCACGGTCATCTGCGGAGCAACGACCTCGACGGAGGGGATGGACCGTGTCTTGGATGTCTTGGGCGGAAAACCCATGGGATCCATTGGGATCCAAGTTATCCCAAGTTGGTGATCCATAGTATGATTATATTGTATGATTACCCATAGGATCCATGTATGCTATATATGGTAACATTTACCATCAATATACCCCAAATGTTAGCATATATACCATACATGGATCCTATGGGTTATGATATTATTTTGATTTTGATTGATATTGTATAATCCCCAATCCCCATTTAAGATAAGCGCTAACGATAGTGTGAGTACTATAGTACTATGGGTTACTAACAAGCTTGGCGGTTACTACCTTGGGTCGTATCTGTTAGCTGGACTCGAAGAGGGCGGCAAAAGAGCTCTTATACTCACTAAGAATTACGCAAACATGCCTTGCACGCGGGAATCACAAAGACTTCACGTAGGTTTCATGTCGAGCCCTGCGTTGAGATACATGAGAGATTTGTGTGGATTATGGGAATGTGTTTGAACTGTGTTTGGCTTCTTTTTTGATGCCTGATTGGTGTCCAACTATGTCCAACTGCTTTAGCAGTGACGATGCTAAATTCCTTTTTTTCCAACATCGCTGGCGGGTGCCATCAAGGTGCAAGTCTCAGCATTGATCAGGAAAGCTTCGCCTCTCAGTTGCAGAAGTTGCAGCTGGGGTGGTCGCGTTTTGTGGTCATTTCATGTCATTTCCAGAGTTGCATCGATTTCACAGTCGTCAGATGTCGTCAGGTTGTGGAGGTGGCGAAAAAGTTGGACGCTTTGGACGCCATGCCGACAGTGGTCGTCACTCTGATTCCGGGCCACCCGGCAGAATCATCCCATACCGGTCATATACAAATCTTCTACAAACTCTTCGGGACCCCAAGTCAGGAATCATCAGCAACAAATCATGAACATTTATAATATGAATATCTAATATCACATCATTTCACCCGAGTTTCAGATCATTCCAGCAACAGTTTTCTCCGATTCCTTGCTTTGTTTTTCACCTCAGCCAGCCTTAGCCCCTTGATCTTCGACATCTTTCGACATCTTTCGACGTTTCCTCCCAGGTTCCATCGTGATGCCTTGGACTTCATATGTGGACGCCGAGCTTGCAGTCTTCCTGGCGGGTGAGGCCACAGGCCTTGGCATCGCAGATGTGCTCTTTGGATATGTGAATCCTGGTGCAAAGTCTCCAGCAACTGGGATGGAAATGATGGAAAATGATGTTTAACATGTTTAACAATGTTTTCAAATATTAATGGAATGAGGATCTTTTTATGTCCATTGATTTCCATTGAGGTATGGAATAAACCGATGCAAAGTCGCCGGAATTTAGTAGACATATGAATACATATACTATCAAATTATCATAGTCATTCAAAGTCGACGGAATTGTCTGCATAGTTTTGGAATTGATTCTTATTCTCAAGGACGCTCCACGAACCCTGAATGATCTATATATATATAGCCAGTGAAATTGCTGGGTATTACTTCAGTTGAAGTGGGTGTTGCCGGGCGCCCCCACATTCCACACTGGCCTAGTTCCCATGTCCGAGGTGACCTTTCCTTTGCACGAGTCTGTTGCTTGGCAACGAGAGTTTCACCTCCATCAAGAGAGAGGAAAACGCGCGCTGTCCTGCGGCGAAGTAAGGATACCATCCCTCCTTGCGAGCCACCAAAGGGGAAACCAATGGTGGAGTGGCTGGCCTCAACGTGGGGAGGGTGTGTTGATGCAAGTGCTCATTGGCTGACATGCTTCATAAATTTTCATAAATTTTCATAAATCTTCATAAATCTTATCCCCCTCATATTCAATACCGAGCATATGATCCATATGGACCCCCCAAAATGAATGGATCCACCAGGATTTCTCGGGGGGTATTGTGGGGGTGGCAGGAGATCACGTCACATGGTGAGAGGCCACAGATGCGCCAAATCCAAGGCCTACGGACTCATTTCCTTGCGACTACACGGAGGGCGTGATGGCAGGGTTCACATTTTATGAGGACATTGAGGCGTCCACTGTTGCTGCACACGGCTGCACATGTGTCCTAGTGGGTAGTGACTTTGCTCGGTCTCAGACTGTGGAACAGAAATTGGAAGTAAAAGGGTGTAAAAGGCAAGTTGTTAATGCATGCACTTAATGCATGCACTTAATGCATGCACAATAATGCACATGTACATTGGGGTTTTGGATTCCAACAGATTAGGAAGCCGGCACCGTACTGATACAGGCATCCTAGTAATGGCGTGGTGAGCAGAGCTGGCTGCGATTCGACCATGAGACAAGTAAAAGAACATCAGGAAACGCACTGGACGAAAACCACATATATATATAATTATATATAATTATATAGGTTATATATATTTATATATATGTATAATGTGTAAAATGAATATAATATTATATATTTACATTTATTTATTTATACACGCGCATTTCTCTATGGTTTATGTTTCACGTGTTGATATGTGTTGCATTTCTATGATTTTTCGCTGATGTCCCTAAAGTATCAGGTTCAATATCCCTTTGGCCACGGCTTGTCCTACACAACCTTTGGCCACCTGGCACTGACGTCATGTCATTGCAGAGCCATTAAGTGATGGGCTTTAATGGGGTCAAATCAACTAACAACATGCTTACAATAGAAGTATTAAAAGGGGACGCACAACGCCATAATATATTATATGGGTGTGGAGGATTCACTCCAAGTTTATGGCCATATCAATAGGGAAAATGCAGCGTAAAGCATTGGATATTTCAATGTCATCCGAGGTTTGTTTTCGGTTCTAAAAACACCTAAAACTTGTGGGTCAGAAGACCTCAATCCTGACGTGCCCAGACCCACAAGGAGGATCTCCATTTTCCTTCTTCGTGGGTTTGTAAGCCCATTGTGATTCTTATTGTGCCAGCTGTATATGGCTTCATGATCAATCATCATTATTCTTTATGTCACATATAAGTTATACAGTTTGAAGCACAATTCAAGTAATTAATGGACAATTTGTAGATTAGCTGCTCTTCCAATATATCCTCAATTCTGTGTATGCTAATTCCACATGTGTTTTCTGGCTAAATCCAAGTCTTCTTGTTGGTTCAATCCTTACAACATGTATTTTTGTTCCCTTTAAGAGAACAAATTGAGGGTTGCTCCAACCCATAATAGATAAATCCACAAGGCTGGACAATTGGTCATTTAAACATCTTACATAATTTTGCCATATTTTACCTCTCCAATTTTCAAGCCATTTTCCCCTGTAATCGTATCTGGGGTGTTGGGAGCAACCCTGGTCTTGTTGGTTTCATCCTTGGCTCAGTGGTTTCATGCCACTGAGGCGTTGAACTTGAGCCGATCAGCGGAACAGACTGCGATGCCAGAGCCTGCATCACTGCCAGGGCCCACGGAGATATCATGCTGAAAGCATGGCATGAGATAGAGTATATAGAGGCATGATGAAATGTGAATACATAAATGATTGCACCCACACACACAATTAAAAATACAATATATATATAATATTCGAAGGAAGTTTAGTCAAACTTTCGACAATATGAACAGATGAAAAGCAGAGATGGGAAGAGTCAGAGAAGAGAAGAGAAGAGAAGAAGAAAGAAGATTAGAGAAGAGAAAGAGAGAGAGGGAAGAAAGAAGATGCAGGTGCGCGAAAAGGTAGGAAAGTCGCGATTCACTGTGTTTTTCCAATGATTTGTGGCTCAGGAGGGTCGAAAAGTAGGCTCGCTAAAGCGTCGGGTGCGGAGCCATCTGGGCAGATGAGAGATGAACAATTGCACTTCGTTGTGGCGCGAAGCACATTTGGAAGTCAAAATGTGCAAGACACACCATTCTCGGACCACTTTTGGAAGTTGAGATGTCGAAAAAGTGCACGCCATTGTGGCGCGAAGCACGTTTCCAAGTCAAAGTGTGCAAATGGACCACTTTTCGAAGTTGAGATTTCAACACGTTTCGAAGTCAAAAGTCGAAAAAACTGAGGGGTACGGAGCACTTTTGGGCGTTGAGATGTCGTTTTGCGTTGCAGTTACAAGGTATTCTGCACCTTGCCAAAAGTGAGCAGTAGCAGTCTCAACTACCACCACCACTACACTCCACTCCACTCCACTGCACTACTCTACACTACATTACACTACAACTACAACCGCAACTGCAATTACAACTACAATTGCGCTACACCTACACTACATTACACTACACTACACTACACAAACTACAACCACAACTATTACTACAACTACAACTACAACTAGGTTCACGGCTTATTTTTCGCCGTCCAACTACACCTACACTACACTACATTGCACCACACTACACTCCACGTGACTACACCACACTAGACTACATTCAATTACACTGCGCTACACTAGAACTACACCTACACTACATTACACTACACTACATTACACTACACTACACTACACTAACTACATTACACTACACACATTACATTACACTACACACACTATATTACACTACAGTAACACTACAGTAGCACGACAGTAAAACTACAGCAACACTACGCTACACTACACCACACTGACTACAACTACAACTACATTCCACTACACTACACTACACTACACGAATTACATTACACCACGAAACACTACACTAATTACACTACACTACGTTACACTTCATTCCACTCCACTCCACTACACTAAGCTACATTATATTAATTACATGAACTACAAGTACAAGTACAAACACAACTGCATCTACAACTTAAACTGCAACGACAACTACACTACATAACACTAGACTAGACTAGATTACACTACACTACATTCAGCTACAGCTACAGCTACAACTACAACTACGCTACCTTACACTACATCACACTCCACTTCACTACACTACACTACATTCCCCTACATTACATTGCACTACGGTCAATATACCACCACAAGTGCCATTGCAACTGCATTATACTAATTACCCTACACCACGACTATAACCCCACTACGCTACAACTACAGCTACAGCTGCACTACACCACGCTACATCCAGCAGTTGTGGGTGAGGTGACCGACCAGGTGACCACTGCAACCATTGTGACCATTCCACAAAACACAGCCCCAACCACCTTTCAGTCCATCAGTGAATTCGCTCTGCCATCCGTGATTCACAACAACCAAGCTCTCCTATAGGTTTCCTATTCTGAAACTTCCGCCACCGCCTTGTGCGGCACAACTGGCAACAATAGATGTAGATTTATATATATATGCATTATGTAATGTATTACATCATCACCCAATTACAAATCTCATTGCGGGCTGGGAAGTCCAACAATATGGGCTTGATTGGCAGCAGTGGGGAAGAAAGAAAAAGAGTGGAGAGAGGTGAGAGTTGGAGAGCCAAGCAGGAATCATTGCCGACAAAACGAAGTGGAAGTCATTACCCAAACAGTTTCTGAAGCCCGAATTAGGCGTGGTTGCTTATGACAAGTCCCACTACGCCCCACGCGTTGCAGGGGCTCAACATGTCCACACCCATCGGAAATTGAGGCCACACACATATCCTTTTGGAGAACTGTAGGTGGCCAGTGGCCCCTTGAACTGCCATTTTTTGTTGCATTTGTTGCTAGGCCCAATTTAAACCCCAGCTGAGGTTCAAGTGACAAACACCGGTCCAGTGCCTGGAAGTGAAGTGGTGCAGCTCTATCTTGTGCTGCTTGGTATGAAGTAGAGATGGTTTGAGATTTTGGTGTCATCATATGCTGTGGCTGGAAAATGTACGAAATGTTGGACATCAAAAAAATAGAACTCCTACTCCCAAAACTCCAGCAGTTTCAGTCTTTCAGATGGTAAATTGGAGGGATTTCCATTCTGTAGCCAACTCGTCACCAGGTTCCCGCCGGGTCTTGGAGAACCCAAGCGCGGAGTCCTCCGCGGTTTCCAGAAGGCCAAGGGCTTGAGTTTGGTGTGGCCACACTGGAAACAGCTCCATTTTGAAACCAAAAAAGACAGGTTGATCAGGTTTCCTGGAGATTTCCTTTAACATCCATTAGCCATCATTGAATCATTAAACCTTTTTTTAACCAATGCCAGTCCAATGCCACGTAGGTTCAAACCCGTTTGAGCCATGGGTTTGTTGGCTGTGCCACCTTGAACAGGTCTCCTTGTTGCCGGATTTCTCGAAGAAGGTTGTGATGAAGCTCTTAGAAAAGGAGACTGCTAGGGATGGAATGGGATGGATCAAAATCTGGATAACCTGGTAGACATCGCACAAACAACGATGTAGAATCATGTAAAATCATGAATCCTTTGTGTGTACTTTTGTTCATGTGTCAATGTTTGATTTGTTGTATAGGTCCACCATGGTTCACCTCTAGATGGCAAAGTGACAACTGCAGCATCAGCTGCAAATCCCAACGGTTCCACAGCATTTAATGGGTTGGCATGTCCCGGCTGGTGATGGGATGTGATAGCATTTTGCAGTGGTTTTCCCTTTTTGTTCCTGCAGGATGTGAGCATTTATGATGAGACCCAGAAGAAGTGGACCGTACCCAAGGGGAGATTCACTGTAATGATCGGCTCATCGATTCTCGCTGCCAAGGGACATGGTGAGTTGTGAGCACTGATTTTGGCTGCTGGAAGTTTAATTAGTTCTTCAAAACCAGCATGATATGGATGATAAAATTTCCGGATCATGATGTATGAAACAGAAACATACATATAAACCACATCATATCATATCATTGCACTACAATACAGTACATTGCACTACCTCACATTACAATATCATATTGCATTACATGTAATTTTCCCATGTATAGACGTGCTATGTATTTTTTCAAATATATATGATATATATATATATATGTGTGTTTTATACGCCTACGCTTACCCTGGAATGAAGCCTTGGATGGGTAGCTTTGAGCTTAGTCTTTTGCTGTCCAGTCGAGGCCGTCTGCAGAAGTCGCATGGATAAGCCATGGAAATCCATGGATGCTAATGGTGATGAGCTGCTGAGCATGTTTTTTTTTTGGCCAAGGAGCCGAGATATCCTTGCTGAAGGCCACTTCGACATTGAATGAGAGGCTCAGGACTGAAGAAAAATGATTTATCGCACAAGACTGGAGTGGAAGGTTGGACAAATGTCATGGCTTTAGCATCTGCATTTCTTAATGCCATGGTATGCCGTGTAAACCTCATGGCAGACAAACTCAAGTGGCTTTCTCGTGTTTGCCCAGGCCATTCTAGCAAAGTTGATGTGTTTCTCCCCCAGTGCTGGCCGTAATTTGGAGGATGAATTTATAGACCATAGATTCTAATGGATGTTCTTCGTTGGTTTGTGTAAAAACATGTAAAAACTCTGCAACAGGAAATCCAGCCCCACTTTGCCTTCCAACATGGCAGGATCAAGTGATCATACCAATTTGGTTGAAGTCTTGAGACCTCAACAGGTCAGAAAGATTCGGAACGGCACATTTTAGCCATTTGAATTGCCATGTGTTTCCAGACAGAGTTGCAGAGTTGAAGCAACCATAGCAGACTTGTTTGACGAAGCAGAGCTGTGATGGGTAGTCTGGCAAATGCATGAAGATGCACGAAGAGATTGCTTGATCTAAAATGATCAGCACATATTGTAGATATTTAACAGGTATTGCAGTGGCTTGCCTGATGAAGTAACCAATAGTAGTGTTTGATGATGTTTGATTAGCGCTCATAGAGTTCAGGTGTGATCCTGGCGGATGGCACCAGTGTGCAGTGGATAAAAGTGGTGAAACAGCTGCAGGATGGCACCTGGCCCCAAACCGAGTGGGAGCAAGATCTGACCTGCCAATTGTTGCTAACATGGTGCGTATATGTAAGTATAATCTATATATATATGTATAATACACCTGATTATACATGCAGGTATGCATCATGTATGCACTTATGTATTTATATAGATGCGCATGCTATCTATCTATCTATCTATCTATCTATCTATCTATCTATCTGTCTATCTGTCTATCTGTCTATCTGTCTATCTGTCTATCTATCTCTATCTATCTATCTATCTGTCTATCTGTCTATCTGTCTATCTGTCTATCTGTCTATCTGTCTATCTGTCTATCTGTCTATCTGTCTATCTGTCTATCTGTCTATCTGTCTATCTGTCTATCTGTCTATCTGTCTATCTGTCTATCTGTCTATCTGTCTATCTGTCTATCTGTCTATCTGTCTATCTGTCTATCTGTCTATCTGTCTATCTGTCTATCTGTCTATCTGTCTATCTGTCTATGTCTATCTGTCTATCTGTCTATCTGTCTATCTGTCTATCTGTCTATCTGTCTATCTATCTATCTGTCTATCTGTCTATCTGTCTATCTGTCTATCTGTCTATCTGTCTATCTGTCTATCTGTCTATCTATCTATCTATCTATCTGTCTATCTGTCTATCTGTCTATCTGTCTATCTGTCTATCTATCTATCTATCTCTTTGTATTGACATGTAAAAATATAAACATCCGTATGTTCGCTGAGCAGCCAAGGCGACCCTATTGCTCGGAACAAGATCGCCTGGCCGATGTTTTCAGCACCGACATTTTTGCACGAAAGGGCGGCATGAACGAGGCCTGTTGGCTCACCAGATTGGAGGATCCAGCAGCTTTGTCAACCACAACATGGGTTGCTTTTGGCTGCTGACATGGAAGAATTTGAATGCTATTCTGTGATCACTGATTTGCATTTTGAGTGGCAAAATCAACAACCTTCGCAGATCTTTCCAAATTCTTTCATGATCGCCGTAGGGAGCAAAATTTCGGAGATTTTTGGACTGCACATTTGGCAGATTGACCCGCACGTCCAGATCATACAGCCTCTATATCTTCTGTAGAAGGAAACCAGTTGTAATTATACGATGACAATGAGACTCTTGTGCCTCCCTGTTATCAATCAGTCTTAGGCATGTTCATGTTTTTTCACATTTGTGCATGCTCCTGGCAGGCTGTACCACATCAGCCAATCTGTGAGGATTTTCCCATCAACCCATACTGCCAGGGGTCCTCAGGGTTCATGGGGCTGCTGATGGCTGTTGACAGACTGCCAGAGATCATGCATTGTTGAAAACGAGTGATCCAGTAGCAGCATTAAAGAGATTTGAATGGAATCTTGATATATTATTGATAATTATATTGATATAGGTCATTATAGGTCCGACCGAGAAGTTTTGCACCATTTTGCCCAGTGTTCTTTCTCGTCTGTGGGAATTGTGGGAAAAGAGTGCCAGACCTGTGAGATTTTTTGCAGGTCAAGAGGCGGCCCTTGAAAGAGTCTTGTCTGAAAATATGGTACCCTGGGGGCCAGGGTGTCCTCAAAATCCTGTGATATCCTGTGGTTTGTGAATCGATCGATATGATCGGTTATGATGATCCCCATTATTCACTAGCCATAACTTAAGTGACACTCCCACGGCTTGACACAGCACTGTTGCAACTGACCCAGGACACCAAGAGCTGGCAGAAATGGACTGCGAAAAGTTTTGGAGACTCTGTGTGGACATCCCAACTGCTGTGGTCTCCAACGTTGGCAGCTTCGAACAGTAAGTCAACTGGCCCCACAGTTGCGGATGGACTGAGCCGATTCCATTTGTTTGTCAGGAAATGGATGGAAATGGGTGGTATCCTCCAAGTGGATCTAAGTGGCAGTTTACATTGGGAACATTAGGAGAAACCACGACAATGTTGGATGGCGCGCTATTTTCAGATAGACCCTTTTCATCCCTTTTCCGTCCAGCACTTGGGCCGCAGCTGCATCAAGAGATGCGCGTCATGCGTCATTGAGCCAAGAGAGAAAGAGCGTTTGCACCAATAAAGCTCCAGGTGAGGTGGGATGTCTCAAACCACCCAGTTCTGGTGAAATGATAAATGTTCTTTGTATGGAACTGGTATATTGCCGATATTCCCTACAATTACCTCATCCTACGAACCGGACTCCCTCAAGTGACGCTTGGTCTGAAAATTGGTTCCCCCAGTGCCAAAGGATGATCATTTTCCCATCACAAAAACTCAACCCATGCTCGGACAAAACCAGGGTGCCAGAAGCTGCCAGAAGTCAATTTTTTGTTGGAGCTGCTGAGCTGCGGTTTTACAGAGCGATTGCAGGTCGCCACCACCACAACAGAGGATTCAGAGGAAACAATCAACGAGGGAAGAAATGGGTCAAGAAGGGCGCAGCTTGGATGCATCAGATTTCCTGAGACATCATTCAGATGCCATTCAGATGCCGTTCAGGTGCCATTCGGACGCCATCAGAGCTAAAACACTTTCACAGCGTCCAGCTATGTCTAGCCACGCTTAGGAACCGGAAGCTTACCAGGAGGAGCTGAACGGCACCTTGGTTTCTGACTTCGTTGTACTCCCGTGTTTGTTTTGGGCAATGACCAGGAATATTTGACATGGTTAGAGCATGTCAAAGCTGACCAGCCAAGCAGATTCCACCATGATTCCACCCGTTGTGGATGCTATGATCTGCCATGAGGCAAGACTGGCGCGAACACCATCGAGGTAGACTGGACTCCCCCAGTCAAGGAGGACTAGCAGTAGCAGACAGCTTCGCAGGGCGTTTGCAATGAGCAAATGTCAATTGGTCAAACTTGTCTACCTACTATCTTACTATCTACTATAAATACATATGCCACCCCCCCTCCCTATATATTTATATGTTTACAGACAGATCTTGAAGAATTCCCCGCTGCTTTGGAGATTTTTTGATGGAAGGTGAACCATCTGGATCACCGCTGTTAATCCTTTCCATTTCAGATAAGCAATTCCAAGTGTCGCCAGAAACTGCCTCAAGGAATGCTAATGATTTCTGTTTGCCAAGCAAGTTTAAGTGAGGAAAGCAAGAGCGGCGGCTGTGATGATGATCCCAACTGACTATGTGATCCTGGTACCGCCTTCTATATGTTCTTTGACAGGAGGAACCGCCAAAAGAAGCTGTTCGCCAGCCATCGCCCGTGCCCGTCTTGTTAGTGACAATGGTGATGACGGCGACGACGATGATGATGATGAGGAGGAGGAAGAGGAGGATGAGGATGATGCTGCTGATGATGATTGTGGTGGTGGCCTCCCGACCTCTCAAAACCCTTGTGCAGGAACTGTGCCAATCAAACAAAATGAATTCAGGCTGATGAAATATACTTTTTCTGACCGCAAGTGTGAACCAAGACCAAGTGCTGCTCCCAGTGATTTTGGTTGAGGTGCGCGGCCCCGTAGGCCGCGGACGCCAGCAGGGAAGCTCAGATGGGCAAAGGCATCGAGACACCGAGAGCCTGAGTCAGAGATGGGTGGAAAGATGGCAGAGTAATATCCAGGGATGAGGATGATGATGAGAATGAGGAGGATGATGATGAGGATGAGGAGGTTGATGATGAGGATGAGGAGGATCTTGATCTTGATCTGAGAAGATAGCCATTTACATGTTCAACTCCACTAATATGTTGACTGTAACTGAATATGTCGCAATGCCCAGCTCCTAGGAACACGCTGCCTGCCTGGATGACGAAAGCACAAGCCGCCCCCAATCCTTGCATCCCGGACCAAGGCGCCACGGTTTCAGATTCGGGGGGGTCACGCCCACTGAGTTGTTCAGGTAGACTATGACAATAGATATGCCAAAGTGACCCCTTTGATTTTATGTGATTTTACCATATTTTACCCAAAAGGATATTGTTGGATTCAACCATTGTATGTGACATGTGCGGATGTTATAATATATGTGCGTGTGTGCGCGCGCATATTTGTGCAAAAGTCTTACTTCATTGTTATTTGTGTGATTGTCTTGGTAGTTCTGCCGGATAGATTCATGTGTATACATATATATATATACATATAGATAAACAACATCGCACAATGTTTTTGTGTAACGTGTGAAGAAATCTACTGTATAGTGTATTGTGATACATCTATATATGCATATCTCATCAAATCAATCACACTCTGGTAATCAAACATTGATTCTTTTGACAATTTATGACTGATTTTCTATATTTTTCTCATTTCAATGTCCATTTCTAGGAGCTTTCCCAGCCATGTTTACCGCTGGCCGTCTCCCAGACCTGGCACTCGCCTGGTCTCCAGGCGATGGAGGACTGTTGGCCTTGACCAACGAAGCCTCCGCCACCGACGACACAGCAGCAGCATCCTCGCCGCCCAGGGAGAAATCGCCGTCACCCGTGCGAGGCAGCAATGCGTTGCGGCGTTGCATGTGGGTCGGGAAAAGGGGATGGCCCTCCAATTTCTGGCATGTGTTCAAAAGGTAAACCTCATGAAAACTCTAGGATTTGGAAACCATTTCATCCTATAGACTAGACAAAGCCATGTGTTGCTGTGGATAAAATGATGGTTTCCTATGGTAAATTCGCCTAGCAAACATGGTTTGGTACTGCTTCGCCATTGATTCCGGGGTTTTGGTAGGCCCTGCTGGCCGTGGACGTGGCAGCACATTGCCTGCTTGGATGACGCAAGGCGTCACGATCTTAGACCGAAGATGTCAACAAAACCAGGGGTTTGTGGTACTATGTGGTATTTATAATACCCCAAAAGTGCCACTTTGAGCGGGAACATGATGATAAACCCTGGGGTTTCGGGGTACCCTATTGTCAGATATTATGGACCCATATTTTTTTTTGAGGATACCCTGTTTTGGACAAACCCAAATGCCCCTAAATCTTCCATTGGCCAAGGCCCAGGATGAACGTCTGTCCCTGATCTTGATTGCTCTTGTTGTGGCTGAGGTTGGAAAGACAGCCACGGCTTCCGCCCTAAGATTGGTGGTGGTACTGCCGTGGGATAAGTTAAGTTCAGTTATATATATTACATTGTACATCAGTTGTACACAATAATTATGTATGTAGGCAGTGTATATATGTATAATTATATATATACATATATATATATATATATCGAATATATAATCAGGTGCAATACATACAGTACACGCATGTATAAATCATGATCAGACATGTGACATATGGACATGGTGTACCAGTGGGCTCTCCACATTTATCTATTGCGCGGAAACATGATGAAACATGTATGTATGATGACTTTGCCAGCGCAAAGATATGGTGAATGCCATTGACCGCATTTAGCCTGGGCGCAGATGGGTCACGTTTGCCATCAAGGCTGAAATCGACAAGGCTCCAAAGATCCCAGTGCCAGCGGCCAAGTGTAACCAAACAAGGTCCATTTAGGATGGGACGGATGGGGAGAGGGTTAGTGTCAAGTTGAGAATGATGTCAATGTTGTGGATTTGAAACCCTCTCTGTTTTCACTGTTCTTTAATTGTGGATGCCATCGTGTCACCGCTACAATTGGACAAAGGCAAGACAAAGAACATGAAGAGCGTTTGGCGGCCATGGATGAGTTGCTCGGCCACGATGATTGGTGCGTACTGTTTGAAACGGTTTCACATATGTTCACATATTCCCAATGGGACAGTGATTTTTGCGTGCAAAAACAGAAGTGAAGGGTAAAATGCCAAATGCTCATACCTCAAATAGCAATGAACATACATGTTCATATTTGAAGTTACTTCCAAAAAGGTAGAAAAGTTACCGACTACTGTACATATACTACATGTTATCACTATTTTAATTGGATCTTACTTTTCTCTGATTTTGGCAATGCTACCAATTTTCTAACTGTATATTCCCATTTTTCTTACCCGTATAAGGAAATGGTAAGCTTGTTCGATTCTGCCAGGATCTTTGCCGAACGGCATGGCAACGAGCAGAAAAGCCGCGAAGTCGTTCAAAAAACCCTGGCCATCGAAGACAATTGTGCGACCGCACCTCCCGACACCGTCTTTAATATGTTGGGGCTCCCAGGTAGACTAAGGAGACTGAGATGGATTGAGATGGGTGTGCGATAAACTAACTTCCTTACTTTGCTTACCCTTGGAGAGGGGGGGAGAGAGAGAGAGAGAGGAATTGCTTACCCATGCTTACCCATGCTTACCCTCAAATTAAGGGACTAGATTCATTGCGAGCCATCAAATTTACACAGTCCATGATCTGATTCGGTGATACTTCGAAACAAGTTTCAAGCGGATTACCAATTCTTCGTTATTCCCAATGTCTCAGGGGGAGCAGCCGCTGAGGCGTCGATCTGGAAAGCCAGCCCAGAAGGCCCTGACTTTGACCGAAAGGCCAACCTTGACACCGCGGGTGCAGCACCCCTGGCAAAAGGCCACCGAAGAACCAGAGCCATGGGAAGAGGATGCCGAGAATGCCGAGGATGCCGAAATGCCGGAGGCTTCCCACGAGCCTTGGGAAGAAGAAGAGTGGGAAGAACAGCCACAAGCTAGCAGTTGGAAAGGCCACGGCCAAAACAACCAGAACAAGCCGTGGCGACTCCAGCATGCTCAGCATGCTCAGCATGCTCAGTATGCTCAGCATGGCAAAAGCTGGCAAAAACCACAAGAGTGGTCAGGAAAACACTCAGAGGAGTGGTCAGGAAAACACTCAGAGGAGTGGTCATCGTCATCCTCCAGTTGGGGGTGGAACAAGAAGCCTCAGAATCAGAATCAGAACTGGGGCAAGAGGAAGCAGCTAGGCAGCAGGGATGGTAATGCATTCTAACTTCGGGCATACGTATTTTGATATTTTTGAAGGGGTTCGTTTCGAGAATGGAGCTCGGTGAAACCTTACAAGCGGCAAGTTTACACCTCCAAGACTCGCCCGAGGTGGGACAGCAATGACAATTACAACAGGAAGTGGCAGAATCAAGAGTGCCTTGGCAAACATGGAGGTGGCCTCTATTATTTATCAGTGCAACACCTTGAACAATTGACAAGTGACTCCACCATACTCCACCTAAGTCCTGCAAAAGTCAATAAGATTTATTACTGGAGTCATGGTTTTATTTGCCATATTTGCCAGACCGCATGGCACAGTTCATATTGTACTTAGACGAAAGTGTGGCTAGCTTGTGAGCAGGCTGAAACTGCGCTCAATGCTTTGCTGCAATGCCTAGCACCTGGATTGTTGCAAGGAAGTGGGACAAAGACAACAGCTGGGATCAATCGGCAGATGCTATAGAAGATCAAGTTGAGGAAGGTAACTTGGCTGCAAGACGACGGGATCCTGGAATACATGTCTTTTTGGCACACATACTCGTATTATATAAAATCAAAGGAAACCGAAGGAAACCGAAGGAAACGAAAGCAAATCAAAGGATACCCTGCTGTGAAGAATGCATGTTCCAGTGATGTTACTAAAGAGTTCCTGTGAATATATATATGTATATATACATATGTATATAATTATGGGTTTGTGTACAACAAACCATCCATACATATCCACACAAAATCGCAACACACACACACATACACACATACAGACATACATACATACATACATACATACATACACACATACAGACATACATACATACATACATACATACATGCGAATAGAGTGTAGGCTACGTACGATTGTATATTCACATATAATTCGACACTCTAGGATCCAATGCCAAAGGGGTATTTCAAACTGGCCTCTTTGGCTCAAGACCCACTGCAGCACCAGAACAAAGAACTGCCATGCGGAAGCCGCCATCCGAGTGAAGCCATCACCGAAGCATTTACTTCAATACCAAGTACCGGAACATAATCGGACAGGCAATCCCTGATTCTCAGGTTATCAGCCGTAGGACTCCTACGGAGCCTACGAGCGGGTAGCCGCGGGCCTTACAGATGACTGAACAGGATAGCAGCGATAATGCATTTTCTTTCTCTGGACATGCCGTTGCACCAGCTGCCGGCACGCAGTCAAATTCTTCACAGAGTATCGACACTGGTGGAAGCGATGCCTCAGAACTGAGAACAAGCCTACCCAGGCGACCTCTGGTTGCTCCTAGAGGGAGACAAATTTCGACAATGCAAGCAATTGAAGATAGGGACAGCACACCTGGAAAGAGAAGATCATCTGCACGACAATTGTCGCCTCCGATGACTCCAAGGACTAAGGCAAAGACTACGTCGTCGAATCCGCCTTCACCGATTCAGGACGCTACTCCATCAGGGACAGGATCTTATCAGCAAGTGAACGCCCCATCGAGTGGTAGCGACATCTTCACTGCCTATCAGAGTGAATTAGCTGAATACAAGACATCACTGGAAAAGGCTACTGAAGAAGAATCCGTACTTCAGGCAAGATTGGCCGAGACGACAGCTTATGCCTATCAACAATTTAATTTCCTGGAAAGCACCACTCATCAAGAGATGATGTCGATGACCGAACAACTCCAGATGCTGAACTTCGAATTACAGGCTGCACAACAAGAAGATGAAGGTGCGACCTACAGGATCGAAGAGTTGGAAAGGTATCAGACTATGTCGAATGAAGCTGCATCTCGTTTGGAATTCAAATATTCACGACTACGTTCGGAATTCGATGAACAAATGGGACAAGCGAGCGCAATTATGGTACATGTGGGCGCTGATGCAAATGCTCACATCAATCAACTCAGACTGGAACTGGAAAACGCAGAGATGAATGCCAAGCAAGAAGCTCTAGCGGTCGGCTACGCTAATGACCAGACATGTGCTTTACAGATCGAGATGCTCGAGGTTGCCAATCAAAACCAGACAATGAAGCACACCATGGCCATGAACGTTAGACGACTGGAAACTGAGCTCGATGCTGCTGACACAAAGAGGGATGAGATCATGAAGGAGTTCCGTAGTAACATAAGATCTGAACATGACCGTTATGCAGAATGTGAACATCACTTAGCTTTGGAAGAATCGCAACTTCGATTGCAGGTGATCCACAATGAAAACTTACAATCTCGACTAGCGATTTCTGAGAACAGGGTTTCTGAAGAATCTCTAGCTGAATCAGGCGGCATGCGGGACATGAGGATAATGGGACTACGTTCTGAACTACACATGAAACAAAGTCTTTTAGATCGAATGCAACAACAACTGACTGAATCGAAGAATCAGTATCATGAACTTTCCTGTCAACAAGCCAGAAGATCTTCACCAAGCAGATCACCGCATGGAGGACCTCTATACGAGATGTATATGCAAGCCGTGCGTGAGCGTGACAGCTTGAAAGAATCCAAGGCTGAAGTTGACAAGTTGTACTTGCAGAACAGAACTGAACTCATTGACACTGAGGACCTGCTCAAAGTCTTCCAGCGAAACTTCGATGAAACTGGTAAGAAATATCAAGATGCTCTGAACAAGATCGATCACATGAGCAACAATCCGAATGTGACGAGTGATTTGTTCGACAGTTTGCACAATGAAATCAATGACAGGGACACAGCTATTGCTCGCCTTCATACTGAACTTGAAGCCCAAAAGGATTCTCTTGAGCGTGCTCACAGGGATGCAGGTAAGCCCATCAAGATGTTGAACGACAGAAGACTCGTGATCAAAGGTGCGACTGACTATTCCATCCCTGAAAGCCACTTGACTGAGATGCATCAATTGGCCAATGAGCGTTTCGCTGAGGTAGAAGAGATGTCGAGCACTATTGCTGCCCTGAAGTTGGAAAATCAAGCTCATTCTTCTTCATCAAAGAATAGACCGACTACATTACATGGGTACCCCAGTAATGCTATGCCTCGGAATGAATGTGAAGAGAAGTGTGCCAAACTGAAAGCAGAGTTGGACGAGATGAAGCAAGAGAAGAACAATGAAGTTCGAAATCTTCAAGATGAGTTGAAGAAGATGGAAGATCGGAAAGATTATTACAAGAACAATTTCTCTCAAGCTGAAGATCGCGCCAACGATGAAGAGCAGGAATACCGAGCAGAAGCTGAAGCCTTCGAAAAGCTCAGGAACGAGTACAACACCAATGTCAAGGAGTTGGAGAACCTTGAAAGGGATAGATCCAAGTCATCCGTATCTCTAAGAGAAGCCGAAAAGATCAGCCTCCAACCCTGGCCTAAGACCACTGAACTTTCATCCTGGAAGGGAAGTGTCGTTCATGAAGTTTGTGTTGCAAGTGGAGATCGAAACTATGAAGATTGGAAAGCGTGGCTAGCTCCGTGTCTTGCAGATCAACCTGACTTGGAGGTCCTGGCCAAAGCACCCGATGTGAGATTCCAATCCATTGATGCCAAGCTCTCCAATGCCTTGAGGAAAGTCATTGACAATGCTGGGGACAAGTCCATGCAAGTGAAGTATGACATGTCCATGAAGAATCAATTGTATGGGAGAAGTGGGGACTTCATCAAGGGACGAGAACTATTCGCAATGATACTGATTAGCTTCAAGTCACCTGACCATACTGAAGTTCTCTACAACGCCCATCATTTGTATATGTTCAACTACTATGGAGATGACCAGCTTGAGGCCTTCTACAACAAGTGGCTTGACATCGTATACAACATGAAACATGATGATCTGCCTTCCAACAATTCCCTGCGTGACACATTGTTCCGGAAGATTGAACACTCAAAGCTTATGGCCTTTGATATCAACCGATACAAAACCTTTGATGAAGGGCATCCTGAGAAGACCTATGTTTACCTAACTGGTATGATCAAAGGATACATAGCAAGAGGAAAGCAAGAACGACTGTTGAAAGATAGAGAACGTGCAGTGAAACTGTCATTGTCCTCTAACAAGACGACACCTGCCTTAGAAGATGCAGACAAGCCTGCCGCTCCCGTCAAGACCAAGAAGGAGAATGAAGCAGCTGCATCGTCTACAGGTGATCCTCCCAAACGGCCTAAGGCGAAAGCGAAGAGTGAAGCTGCATCTGTACTTCCTACACCTTCTCCGAAATCTCATGCCGACAAGAACAACAAGAAAGGCAAAGGTGGGAAGGGAAGATCATCTTCACCCGTTGACAAGAAGAAGATTTTCTGTAACTACTTCTTCAATAAAGGAGGATGCAACAAAGGTGACAAATGTCTTTACAGTCATTCTCAGAAGGTCTATGATGCCAAGATGAAAGGTAAGAAAGGCAGAAGTGGAAGTCGAGATTCATCAAGGGGAAAGAGTAAAGGAAGTTCATCTTCAGCTGGACCCAAAAAGAAGGTATGTTGGAATTGGCAGAAGGGTACCTGCACGTTTGGGAGCAAATGTAAATTCCTACATGCAGACCAATCGCCTTCAGCATCCTCAGAAAGAACCAGCAAGAAGACACCAAAGAAGAAAGCGACTCCCATTACCATTGACTCCTTCTTTGACAGCGACAATGAAGATTCTATGGATTATACCTCACCGAGGATAGCCAGCGCAAAGAAGTCTTCTGATGTTCGCAGAATCTCATTTGATCTGGAACCTGAAGTGCACGAGATTGCAATTGAGAACTACCAAGAGGGACTACCCAAACGTATGTATCGTGACCCCAACAAGCAGTATGTCTTCTGGAAGGTCGATGATTTGACCGACGATCAGTCCAAGTCCGACAACACACTTGGTTCAGTCCGAGCACGGGCCAAAGCAATCATCATGGACAGATGCGGACTCCATCGTTTTGTTGATGAAGTTAGAATCATCATCGGCCCTAAGTTCGACATGTTGATCAAGCTGGACGATGATCGTGATGACTTGACTTTCATTGAAGAGCTTGTCGAACACGAAGTTGGAAAATCCCTCATAAAGTCCAAGAACATGATGTGCATTTCATTACCAGTACAAGCCAAAGATCGTAGATTCATCCTGGATTCTGGCAGCGGACACGATCTGATTTCTGCAAGGAAAGCCGAAAGGATGAGCCTGAAGCAACGAACTTGTGATCCTATCATGTTCCACACCGCCAACGGTTCAACTGCTACTCAAACGGAAGCGGAGATTGACCTGGGAACCTTTGATGTGACCTCTCATGCTTATGTGCTGGACGACACTCCGTCCGTGATGTCTCTTGGGAAACGATGCATGGAAGAAGGATACTCCTTTGTATGGCCATCTGGTCAAATGCCTTTCATGATTACGAAGAATGGAGAACGCATCGATCTGACAATCCATGACAACATCCCCTACGTTGATCTTGGAACATACGAATGCACTCCTCATGAATGCCATCATGCATCAAAGATCCATGACCTATTGACACATCCTCAAGTCGGATTCAATGATTTCAACGACATTGATGATGTTGGTCAACCCTCACGAAGAGTACATCTCGATGGAGAAAGTGGCCTTGAGACATCGACTGAGGATCACAACTGTTCCCGATACGTCAAGAAGCTCAAGGTGAAGAAGAAGAGAAGAGCAATGAACCGACAGAAACATTTGGCAAC